ACACTTGCTCCTCAATGACTCCTGAGTAAATAATGAAATTAAGGCAGAAATTAAGAAGTTTTTTGAAACCAATGAGAACAAAAACACAAAGTACACTGAGTCTGTGGGACACAGAAAAAGCGATGTTAAGAGGGAAATTTATAGCATAAAATGGCCACATTAGAAAGCTTGAAAGATCTCAAATCCAAATGCTAACATCACAATTAAAAGAGCCAGAGAGGCCAAAGCAAACTAATCTGAGAGCTACCAGAAGACAAGAAATAACTAAAATCAGAGCAGAACTGAAGGAGTTAACGACATGAAAAGCCCTCCAAAAAAATCAATGAATCCAGGAGCTTTTTTTTGAAAAAATTAATAAAACATAAAACTAGCTAGATTAATGAGGAAGAAAAGAGAGAAGATTCAAATAGACACAATAAAAACATGATTAATGGGACATCACCACTGACCCCACAAAAATACAAACTACTGTCAAAGAATACTACAAACACCTCTATGTAAATAAACTAGAAAATCTAGAAGAAATGGATAAATTCCTGGACACACACATCCTCTGAATACTACACCAGGAAGAAGTTGAATCCCTGAATAGACCAATAGCAAGTTCTGAAATTGAGGCAGCAATTAATAGTCTCCCAGCCAATAAAGCCCAGGACCAGATGGATTCATAGCCAAATTCTACCAGAAGTACAAAGAGGAGCTGGTACCATTCCTTCTGAAACTATCCCAAACAATTGAAAAGGAGGAACTCCTCCCTAACTCATTTTATGAAGCCAGTATCATCCTGATAGTGGCTTCCAGGAAGAGAACACAACAAAAGAAGAAAACTTCAGGCCAATATTCCTGAAGAACATCGATATGAAAATCCTCAATAAAATACTGGAACTGAATCTGGCAGCACATCAAAAAACATAACCAGTATGATCGAATCGGCTTCATCTCTGGAATGCAAGGCTAGTTCAGTGTATGCAAATCAATAAATGTAATCCATCACATAGACAGAACCAAAGACAAAAACCACATGATTATCTCAATAGATGCCTTTGATAAATTTAACATCCCTTCATGTTAAAAACTTTCAACTAGTTATTGATGGAAGACATATCAAATTAATAAGAGATATTTATGACAAACCCACAGCCAATATCATATTGAATGGGCAAAAGCCAGAAGCATTCCCTTTGAAAACCAGTACAAGACAAGGACTCCTTCTCTTACCACTCCTATTCAACATAGTATTGAAAGTTCTGTCCAGGGCAATGTGGCAAGAGAAAAAAATAAAGCATATTCCAATAGGAAGAGAGGAAGTCAAATTGTCTCTGTTTGCAGATGACATAATTTTATATTTAGAAAACCCATGATTGCATCCCCAAAACTCCTTGAACTGATAAGCAACTTCAGCAAAGTCTCAGGATACAAAATCTATTGTGCATAAATCACAACCATTCCTTTATAACAGAAATAGACCAGCAGAGAGCCAAATCATGAATGAACTCCCATTCACAACTGCTACAATAAGAATAAAATACCTAAGAATACAGCTAACAGGGATGAAAAAGACCTCTTTAAGCATAACTACAAATCACTGCTCAAGGAAACAAGAGAGGACACAAGCAATGGAAAAACATTCCATTCTCATTGATATGAAGAATTAATACCATGAAAATGGCCATACTGCCCAAAATGATTTATAGATTAAATGCTATTCCCCTCAAACTACCATTGACATTCTTCACAGAAGTAGGAAAAACCTACTTTAAATTTCATATGGAATCAAAGAAGACCCCATACAGCCAAAACAATCCTAAGCAAAAAGAACAAAGCTAGAGGTATCATCCTACCTGACTTCAAACTATACTACAAGGCTATAGTAACCAAAACATCATGGTACTGGTATCAAAACAGACATATAGACCAATGGAGCAGAACAGAGACCTCAAAAATAATACTACACATCTACAACCGTCTGATCTTTGACAAAACTGACAAATGCAAGTGATGGGGAGAGGATCTCCTGTTCAACAAATGGTGCTAGGAAAACTGGCTATTCATATACAAAAAACTGAAACTGAACCCCTTCCTTACACCTTATACAACAATTAAGATGAATTAAAGACTTAAATGTAAAACCCAAAACCATGAAAACCCTAGAAGAAAAGCTAGGCAATATGGTTCAGTATATAGACATGAGCAAAGATTTCATGAAGAAAATGCCAAAAGCAATTGCAACAAAAACCAGAATTGACAAATGGGATTTAATTAAACTAAAGAGCTTCTGCACAGCAAAAGAAACTATCATCAGACAGAATAGGCAACCTACAGAAAATTTTTACCATCTACCTATCTGACAAATGTCTAATATCCATTATTTACAAGGAACTTAAACAAATTTACAAGAAAAAAATAAAACAACCCCATCAAAAAGTGGGCAAAGGATATGAACAGACACTTCTCAAAAGAAGACATTTATGTGGCCAACAAATACATGAAAAAAAACTCAACATCTCTGATCATCAGAGAAATGCAAATCAAAACCACAATGAGATACCATCTTGCGCCAGTCAGAATGGCAATTATTAAAAAGTCAAGAAACAATTGATGCTGGTGAGGCTGTGGAGGAATAGAAATGCTTTTACACAGTTGGTGGGAATGTAAATTAGTTCAACCATTGAAGACAATGTGGCAATTCCTCAAGGATCTAGAACCAGAAATACCATTTGACCCAGCAACCCCATTACTGGGTATATATCCAAAGGAATACATAACATTCTCCTATAAAGACACATGCACAGATATGTTTATTGCAGCACTATTTACAATAGTAAAGACATGAAACTGACCCAAATGCCCATCAGTGATAGACTTGATAAAGAAAATGTGATACATATACACCATGGAATACTATGCAGTCAAGGAATGAGATCATGTTCATTGCAGGTACATGGATGAAGCTAAAAACCATCATCCTTGGCAAACTAACACAGGAACAGAAAACTAAACACCTCATGTTCTCACTCATAAGTGGGAGATGAACAATGAGAACACATGGACACAGAGAGGGGAATAACACATAACAGGGCCTTTAGGGTTTGGGAGTTTTAGGGGAGGGAACTTAGAGGACAGGTAAATAGGTGCAGCAAACCACCATGACACACATATACCTATGTGACAAACCTGCACATTCTGCCCATGTATCCAATCTTTTTTAAGAAGATATAAAGAAAAACAAAAATTTAAAAATAATTGTCATAAGGGGGAAAAAAGAATGAAGAATGAGTAGTACAAATCACAAGAGCAAAAGTGGACTGTAAACTTAGTTTTTTCTAAATGCTCTATATGTTAATGTTTTCTAAGTGCTCAGTATTGTTAACCTTATAATAAACGTACCTTTTTAATACTTTTAATTCAAACTGTTATGGAATTTAAAACTAAGGCCCAGAGATGTTAAGCGGCTTCTCTTGTCTAAGGTCAAAGATCTAATAAGCGACTGAGCTGAATTTTTTTTTTTTTTGAGATGGAGTTTCACTCTTGTTGCCCAGGCTAGAGTGCAATAGCACGATCTCAGCTCTACCGCAAACTCCACCTTCCGGGTTCAAGCAATTCTCCGGCTTCAGCCTCCTGAATGTGCCAATACATTCAGCTAATTGTTTGTATTTTTAGTAGAAGGGTTTCTCCATGTTGGTCAGGCTAGTCTGGAACTTCTGACCTCAGATTCCTGACCTCTGGCAATCTGCCGGCCTTGGCCTCCCAAAGTGCAGGGATTACAGGTGTGAGCAACTGTGCCTGGCCTGACCTGAGATTTGAATTTAAGCCATTGAGCTTCAGAGGTCATGTTGCTGTCTCATGCAAGCACCATACGTCCTATTTAAAAACTTTCAGATTTACTTTTATAGAGCAATAAATTACAAAACTAACAATAGGTGAGATTTGGCTCTAAGATGGTTAAGTTATAACCCTTCCTTGGTAACAATGCAAAAGGATACAAAGCAGACTTTCACGTATTTTCAAAAGAGAGTAGACATTCAGCAAATGCTGACTTTTTATTTCTTTGATGTACTTAATATTGCCTAGGGCTACTAAGCATCCATTCACACTTTCCTCTATGTGTTCTATTTTATATTTTGTCTATATTCTCTATACAGAGTTTGATTTAGGTTTTGCTGGTGAGTTAAATAAAATCATGTGAGATTGGAAAGTAAAAGGAAAATGGGTGCCATCTTCTCAGGGCCAGTGGGAGGAGATAGATAGTGGTTCTGGGAGACATAAGAGTGAGCAGTGACAGGACTCACGAGTAGTGCCAAAAAGGTAAGGTGGCCATGAAGACGGCTGCAGTTTCCAGACACCTGAATTGCTGCTGCAGTGCTGTGTGATCAAGAATCTAGTAGATTAGTATGCAGCCTCTTCTAGGCCTACCTCCTCCAGTCTTTTTTTGCAAGAATCCAAGCCCATGCAATTATTTCTCAGTTATTTAGAGTGATTTCTATTTCATACACTAACAGAATGGTACATGCTACATGGAAAGTCAGTAGCAAAAACAAGATGATAAATATACGATAGGAGAGTGAAGTGACTTGAAGACAGAAATATTACTCAGTTTTTGTTTTTATTTCAGTATGAATACTTTCAAAATTTATTTATTTATTTTGAGACAGAGTTTTACTCTGTCTCCCAGGCTGGAGTGCAGTGCTGCGATCACGGCTCACTGCAACCTCTTCCTTCTGGGTTCAAGTGATTCTCATGCCTCAGCCTCTTGAGTAGCTGGGATTACAGGTGTGCACCACCATGCCCAGATACTTTTTGTATTTTTAGTAGTGATGGGGTTTCACCATGTTGGTTAACTTAGCCTTGAACTCCTGACCTCAAGTGATTTACTGGCCTCAGTCTCCCAAAGTGCTGAATTATGAGCGTGAGCCACCATGCCTGACCTAGAAATTTTGTTTTTCAAATGCAAGATGTTCACCCAAAGCAAATATTATGACATATCATAATAGTTTACCTACCTGCCATCTTCTGTGCCATTAATTTCAAAGGCTTCTCCATCTTTACTCCAGGACAACTTCAAACTGTGTTTCAAATGTGCGTCACATTTGCTCTCACAATGTAATTCGAGCATATGCAATTTGGGGATTCGAGGATTCTTGGGAGAAACTCTAAGTTTTGTAGCATCTGTTTTTACCAAACAAAGATACTAGTTAGAACTAAGCATAGCTTACTTTGTTATTAAGTGCCTGCAATTTAAGTAACCAAATTGTCACCATAACAGTCCAATTCTCATGCAGGGTTTGTCCCACTGCAATTTCCTAACATTATATATCATTATTATTTTCTTTCTATCCAGGCTTGGACATTTGACAAATTTTAAGTGGAAATATCAGTTAATAGTTTAGTAATTTTCCTCATTATTTATTGGGCAAGGGAGTAAGCAAAGTATAAGCAAACAAATGTCTCTAGAAGTGGAAAATAATATAATTTCTCCTTCGAGTGCTTCTGGATATGTAATCAAAGCACTGTAAAGAAAAAGGGAAAGACAGTTGATTTTCTATTAGCATGTTTATTATTAATTCAGAAACCTGAGGGTAAATGTTTAAGCCCATGCATGGATGAACTATCAACATGAAGGTGGGGAACTAGAAGGTAAGCCCCGGGAAGGCAGAACCTGTGCCTGTTTTGTAACACTACACTATCCTCAGAGCCTAGAAGGGAGCCTGTACACTACAGGCACTTGATACCTATCATTAACTCTCCTGTTGAATGAATTTCAGGGAGTGATAGTTTGAAACAAAAATAAGTTTGTAGTTATCAACCTTATGAAACTCAAAGATTGGTATATGGCTGCTTTAAAAAATGTTTGCTTCATTATAATTGTTTCAAAACATGCAATCCTTACTTTTTAAGGCTATATTAAAAGTAGGTATACTCTTAATGCGGCATTTGGCATTTTGGGGACCTCTTAGAGACCAACTGCACAAGCTGACCTCCAATTCCATAATTATACTCTGATATTTGCCATATACATTTTTCTCAAGGAACTGGTTAAAAACGAAAAGTGTTAATAAAATTAATTGTTATCTCAGGCACAAAACTTGAAGAGACTATTATTGAATTAATTTTAAGTGAATTATTTGATATTCTATTCTACTATTCTAAATTTAAAGCCAGAAATTCATTTAATAATAATAGATACAGTTTAATAAGCACCTCTCTATCAGGACTCTGCTAAGTAATGCATATTCATTGTGGCATTTTAAAATTACAACAACTTCATGAATATTAATACTCCCACCTTACAGAGAAGATAATTCAAGGCTAAAATGAAATTAAACCATAAGACCATGGTTTCCTAACTGGTAAGGAGCTGAACCATGATTTGAACCGAAATCTGCCTGAGACTAAAATTCATACTTTCAATCACTATACTATATAGGCTCTCACTTAACTCAATTCTCAACAGGCCTTTTGGGCATATAAAAATATCCTTAATTCTTCATTGTTATGATTTGTATGTGTTCTTTACATATAAAATAGACACTACAGCATATTGAAAGTTTGTAAACTTATCCATCTCTCTGGCCACTAGCCATTTTGAGGTCCATTTTGGGCCAAGTACTATGTTGAGCAACAGGAATGCCAAGTTCCATTTAGATTCGAGGCTTCATGCCCCTTACACCTAGCTGAGTTGCTTAACCTTCATATAGGTTTACTTTTTGAAGTATAAAAACAATTATCATCATCTTCAGTGATTTCATGAGGGCATCTTGAAAAGTGTACATGACATTTGAAAATGTAGAAGACATCAGAGATAAGTAAATGTTGCAGGAGAGTATTTGAGTGCTTTAAAAATATAGTCTGTGGGGTTGGCACATTTGATTTACTTAGGGCACTGAAAGAGACAGATACTAAAAATAAGAAAAGGATGTAAGAAAAAAGGATGAAAAAAGATTAAAGGAAGGATGTAAATGGGAGAAGAGAGGGAAAGAAATGTCAAGACATCAGTGGGTACATAAGCAGAACAGGTATGAGGAAAAAGGGCATCAGTGAAAACAGAGGAACCAACAAGCATGCTCTCCCTTATTTAGGTGGAAGTGAGAAACAGGCGGGATATTGACATGACACAAGAAACAAAAATGCTCCCTACTATTACTGAAGGACCTTTCTGTAGTTTGTGTTTTCTTGAGGATTCTTTGAGCAATATTAAAGTCAAAATATCAGTGAAGCCCAAGAAACTATTAACAGCTCCCAGGACTGTGCCCTGAAGTGAGAAAGAATAATACAAAGCTGTTTATGACTCAAGAAGAGAATAAAAAATCCTCCTCATTCTGTCATGCCTCAGTCATTATGAAGTTATGAGTTTGTAAAATCTTTAGCCCAAAAACTTAATTACTGGTAACATTACCTTGAGTTGGCTTTTGAAATAAAATACAGTTACAGAGGTATGATGTAGTATGGTTAATAGATAATTTTTAAATATTGACAGCCATCTGTCACTAACAACACCTGGCTTCCTCTTAAAATAGAATGAAGCTGTGCACATATCATCGGCATATTTTGTAATTCTTGGAATGATCTTTTAGATGAAACCCAATCTAGGAATTTTGGAAAACAGCTCAAAGAACTTTATCAGGTAGTCCAACTTAAATTGTATTATTCCATTGGGCAAATGAAGACAGACTGAACCCATGTGACAATTCATGCAAAGTAACAGTGAAATAAAAATACTTCTAATATCCAAATTGGCTGTGACTGCAGTTTTTCCTATAGAATTTTCTACCCAACATGAGTATGACCCAGCATCTTCTTCAGTGGTTCTGTTGATCTGCAATGTGCCATTTTCGTAGATATGATACCGCCTGCCCTCCAGGGGTTTCGCTTCTTCTACCTTCTGCCTATGAACAGAGAAAGCATACATCCATTTGAGGTGGCACAAAATTGCATACTCTTTTAAATACTAGTCGATGATGTCACTCAGGCTAATCCCCTTTTCAAGAGCTTAGCAAATCTTATGAAATGTTCCATTGGGTTTCATATTTTTCTCAAAATGGACCATGAATGTATATCTTACCTACCCAAATAGACTGTGGCTAGAGAAAATATAAATCCATGCTCCGTGCTTCTGCGGTATTTCTCATAGCTACCTGCACTGTTTGCATGTGTCTTCAGAGCTTAATAAATATTTTCTGGCTTATTGATGGTGAACTCTTTAGTTAATGATTGCTCCAGGGTACTAAACAGGAAAGCTAGTAATTGAAAGAGATAATGAACCTTCCAAACCTCCTGCTGTCCTGGGAAAACATTGGTCATTCAGAAATATTATAAGCCAGGGAGTCTTGCCTGTCCTGTGGACATGGATTACATTTATCCTATCAAACCAGAGTTATTTCCTCCCACATTCATCCATTTCCAAGCATTTGCTGCCACAGCTTGATTTACCCTGTACATTTCACAGTAAGTTACTGCTTGAGTTAAAAAAAAAACAAAAAAAAACCACAAAGGATAAACTGTGGATGCTGTCCATGCAGGTTCACAGGACAGGGACCAGGCTGAGGTAAGTGAGAGGCTTGCCTCAGATGCAAAATTTAATGGGGTACCAAACATCTCAGGAGGCACAGTAAATAATATTTCAATGGAGTGTTTTCAAAAATCAAAATAATGCAAAAAACCAATGATAAACAAAATATGTACCATGATTTAAAATAAATAAAGACAATATCTGACCCTATAAATGTATGACCTGGGGTAACTCATCTTACCCTGCCCTACAGAGCAATGACAACATTATTCAAGAACTATTTAATCAAGCTTTTTCAGTAAAGTAACTAATAAGGTAGATCCATATTGACAATGTATTTGAACTTATGATACCAATTAATATATGAAAATTAAAATAAAAATGAATGCTGGAAAAGTCTGAAGCACATGTACTTGGAATTAAATGCAAGCTTAGATAATTATTTAGATAATCCCAAAACAACAACAATAGAGTTAAATATGACCTGTGGTATTATTGAAAAACCAATTCTCCCTTTAAAATTGTCTCTGTAATCTCTTTAATTCTCTGCGTTTCTTTATGAACACAAGTGGCTCTCTGTATGTCTCTGTGTAAGAAAATTTTAGAAACCTAGCCAATGTTTTCAGAAGAGGTGATTTCCTGAGAGGTAAGTTTGTTACCTTATGTCTCAGAGGCACTGGGTACATGTAACAATATAGACGCAATGCAGCCTGTCAAATAAGGGATGAAGAAACAAGGTCAAATCTACAACTGACATTCTCTTAAGAATACTGTGTTTGCTGCTGGCTTACCAGGACACAATTGCCTCAGGTGAAGCAAAGAACTCGCAATGTAAGAAAGCACTGTAGCCAACCACTGTAGCATAATTTTCTTCATCTTCGGTTTGTATCAATGGACGGACATCTATTTGAAAATAACATAAGTACAGTTTTAAACTTTCATGGAAGAAAAGTGTGCAAACTAAATTTTACTATGTCCTATTCATATTAATAAGAATAGAAAACAGCTGAATATTATGGTGTCTGTCTTGAATTATAAAACTATCCCAATTCAGTGCATTTTTGAAAGTATAATTGCAGTGTGAAGTCTAAAACCCAAATGTATGGTGAAAAGTGCTTTGGTTTTTTCCCCCCATATATTATGTGTCAAGAGTTCAACTGGTATTTCTGAACATGACCTTGATCATGTTCCTTAGGAAAACAGCAGGTTAAGTCAGCTCCCAGGCACACTCACCCACAATATTGATATTGGCGTTGGCAAGGATAGTTCCGTGGACATTTGAGGCTTCACACTGGTACACAGCAGTGTGATTCGGTTGTAGGTTGGTAAAACTGACTTCCCTGGGGAAGACAACATCACCAGCAAATGGATGATCTGAAAGAGATTAAAGAATGTCAGTTTGATAAAGAACAGACATAAAATATTTATATACCATTTATTAAACGTGTCACACAGTATTTATATTTTAAAACCAGTTTATGGTGACTAATAGTTCAATGAAGCCAATTCTTTAGGCTTTTTGAAGGTCAACTATGGACTTCTCTTTCTAGATCCATTTAAATTTTCAATCCTCTTTCAAGTTAATATTTATCAGCAAAATATCTGCTTATCTAAAGCTCTCAGACTTTCCATACCTATACTCATAGTACTATTCCAGATTATCTGTTTGGCATTTAAGACCTATGATGAAGTGACACTCATGTTACTCTTCTGAATTTAGATACTGATGCTGCCCAGCACAAATCACCTGGTCAACACATCATGATCCCCCAAGCCATCAATACTGGCTGCTGTTTCCCCCCTTAACACTTTTGTTCCCATTTCATTTCTTTGCCTTTTTCCAGTTTTCTGATCTGCACCATTCATTTCACGAATGCTTCATTCACTATTTAGTCACTTCATCTATATTGCTTGCATATTTCATTTTCCCAGTAAGAAATAAAACTCTTCTTGAGAAAAAGGGCTAGATTTTCTACTTTTGGGCAATAAAACCTTCCCCACTCCTGATCCAAGTATAATTCTAGAAATATCTTTTGGAAATGAGAATGCCTACCCTGAGGCTGGGCATGGTGGCTCATACCTATAATCCCAGCACTTTGGGAGGCTGAGGTGGGTGGATCACTTGAGGTCAAGAGTTCAAGATGAGCCTGGCCAACATGTCAAAACCCTGTCCCTGCTAAAAATACAAAAATCAGCCAGGAATGGTGGCACGCTCCTGTAATTCTAGCTACTCAGGAGGCTGAGGCAGGAGAGTCATTTGAACCCAGGAGATGGAGGTTGCAGTGAGCCGAGACCCTGCCACTACACCCCAGCCTGGGTGACAAAGTGAGACTGTCTCAAAAAAAAAGAAAAAAAAAGAGAATACTTAATATTTCTGATGCATTTGTTAAGGACCAAAATCTCTATTGGATGTGGCACATGCATTATCTCACTGACACTGCTCAGAACTTGATGGATGAGCATTTATATTACCATTTTAAAGGTGAGGGTACTGGATTTCAGAGACGCTGAATGATACATCCCACAGCATTTGGCCACTTTTCTAACTCTAAAAGCCCTGCCCTTGCTATGATACTATTAAAAAATGTAGTGGGAAGGAAAACATTAGCTGGAAATATCATGGGAGGGGGACACATGCAAAAATTTTTAGTTCAAAGAACATTACAAGATCACTAATCAATCTAAATTTTTTCTGATTGTGTCTCCACAAGATAATGACTATTCTAAGTTTTAGGTTCCAGAAAACATGAGTGTTAAATATTAAAAGACATATACATCTTTTTCTGCCTGGGAATCATAAATGAATATGCTTTTCACTTGACTGTGAGCTCTCTGAGGGTAGGACTTCACTGTGAGGTTGTATAGTGCATCCCCAGTGCCCAAAGGGCAGCTACCACGGAAAAGCCAGTCAATAAATACTAAGTCATTGTTGGAATGACTTAGAATGTTATTTTGGGCAACATTTATTCTTGAAAGGCCTCTATAAGTAGGCAAACAATAGCCCCTGAAAGATGTCCACAATCTAAGTTCCAGAATGTATGACTATGTCACCTCACGTGGAAAAAAAGCACTTGCAGATGTGATTTAGCTTAAGGACATTGAGGTAGGAAAATTATTTCCTACCCCTGGATTTCCCAAGTGAGCTCAATGTAATCCCAAATATCCTGAAAATCAGAAGGCCAGAGAGAAATGTGACCATGGAAGGATGGTCAGAGAGATGTAATAATGTAGCTGGCTTTAAAGATGGCAGGAGGGAACCAGGTAATGTGGGCAGCCTGGAGAAGCTGGAAAAGGCAAAGAAAGGAATGCTCTCCAAGCATTTCCAGGACATGGCACTGTTGACACCTTGATTTTAGCCAAGACTCATGTTGGAATTTTACAGAAATGTAAAGTAGCATATTTATACTCTTTTAAGCCACTAAGTTCATGTTTAATTTGTTAGAGCAATGCTAGAAAACTAATACAATCCTGTTAGAGAATTTATCACTTATCTCTTGCAAATTAGCAAGATGAGTATCTCTTCCAAGTTTTTTAAGGCTAAATTCTTTAAGAATGTTGCAAAGCACTGAGTCTCTGATCCTATTCTTCACTTCTACACCTCACTAAGAGTCCTAAGTCTTTCAGAGGTAACCCCATCCTCCCATTTAGTTCTCATCCCATTTGATCCATGCATGGCTCTGTATTAATACTGCATTACAAAAGGAAGAAATTAGTCTATTTAAGTGGTATTTTATTTAAATAATTAAACATTGCTTAAATCTGCCTGCTGGCGTAGGTATGGAAATTGTGTGTATTGACAAAGGCTAACAGAAGCTCCCAGGATTCAAGAAAGCCAAGTCTTTGTAAAACACATTAGTCCTACATACTTCAGAAATTCTTTCTCATTGTGTTAGACAACACAGTGAGAAATCATGCAATAAAGTGGGAGAAACTTCAGCTTTGGAGTTAACCCTTCCTGGGTTCAATTCCTGGTTTTAAATGTATCTGGGTTGCATTCTCCAGTAAATAATGTAACCTCTCTGACCTTCTGTTGCCAATGGAGAATAATAGAATTTATCTTTCTTTCTTTTTTTTTTTTTTTAAAGATGGGGTTTTACCATGTTGGTCAGGCTGGTCTTGAACTCCCCACCTTAGGTGATGCGCCCATCTTGGCCTCCAAAGTGCTTGGATTACAGGTGTGAGCCACCACGCCCAGGCTAGAATCTATCTTTCAAGCTGTTATGACGTTCGGAAATATTAGATGCAAAATATGTGAAAAGGGTTAGGCCTATAATCAATAATAGCAATCATTTTGATTTAATTTTGAAGTAACTTGGGGAAAGGATATATGATTCCTCAAACTAAAATAAGCCCAAAGAGATTTCAAATTCTTTAGCCAGCTCACTGTCATCAAATATCCCAGTCTATAAATGTTTATGACCTATTTGCAGGGCAGCAAGGAGGGCCATGACCAAAAGCCATGAACAGAACACAGAGCTTGGATTACAGCAACCTGGCTTTGGTTTGAGGTCTACATTATTCAGCTGTGCAGCCTTGCATAAGTTTGTTTTCAGCCTTGACCTCCTCATCCATTAACAAGGCTCTATTTTGAGACAAATCCAGATGCTAACCGCGACTGCCACAAATCTAGCCCTGAGCGCACAGCTTCTCAGATGGCCTTTCACCTAGAATCAATCACACAGCCCATTCTCCATTCAGAGGCCAGGAAAATACCTTGTAAAAATTTAGATTGTGTCACTCTTCTGCTCAAAATCCTCCAAGAGTTGCCCAGTGTATTCTCAATAAAATCCCAAGGCCCTACTTGGATGTTCATCTTTGCCTAAGCTCTGGCCCTTTCCCCTGCTGGTGAATTTGGTGGCCTAGGGCTGCCCTTACCCTCCTTCAGCTTCAGCCACACTCACCTCTTTTCTCTTCCTCAACCCACTTCTCCACCTGGAAAGCACTTTTCCTGTTATTTGCACAGCTGACTTCCTCACCTCCTTCATGTCTCTACTCAAAGGTAAATTACCACAAGGGCCCTTACTATTATTATCTTAAAATAAGATCACAACTTGGGGTACCGAACCTTTTTCAGGCACTACCCTTACCCAGCTATTTTCTGCTCTATCACACCACAGTGTACACACATGTGCTTATTTTTCTAATGGCAGGAGAGCAAGGATTCCATCCATTTTATTCACTGGTGTGTCTCAACCACGAATTCCAGTGCCGGCACATAGAGGGCACTCCATAAATATTATTGAATGAATGAATCAGTTAAATATAAAAAATAGTACCTCCTTTATAAAGTTCTTTGTGGATTCCAAATAATTCATGAATGTCTTTTGTAAACAGCTAAATACCATCCAAATATAACTGTTTATCATTTTGTGTTCTGGACAATCTGTGTTCCTTACCTTAGTAACTTTTGTTGTAACATTCATTAAAAACAAAAGTTGCTTTCATTTCCCTGCATCTACCCCAAACCTTATTATTATTTTTCATTTCTTATTCTGTGCCCTAAAGAGATGAGGAGAAAAATCTCAAATCTGAAGATAGTAATCATGAGGAGTAAGGTTTCCTGAGTGTCTGTGATGGAAAAACAATACCAACCAACTATACATTACAGGGTGCTGTTTTTGTGGTAGTCCCCATGCTAAACATTCTTTGCATGATGTTTCCTTTAATCCACAAAACAGCCCTGTGAGTCAGCACTAGTTTTATCCCAATTTACTGATGACAAATGGGCTTGAAGAGGGTCAGTAACACATCCCGTCACACAGCTAGTAAACGGCATGCAAACACAGGCAGTCTGGCTCCAGAGTTTATAAACCATCACAATACTCTACAGATGAATCACTGCCCTAGGCAGCTGGCTACATTTTTTCTTTTTTTTCATTCAATCACAACCAAGTACTACTATCTCCATTTCGCAGTTTAAAAAACACAAGCTTGGGGAGGTTCAGAAAACAGCTCAAGATGAAATAGCTGGGAAGGTACACAGGCCATATGGGACCCCAGGTCTGTTGTCCACCAAGTGACTCACCCTACACCTGTGCAGGCCCCAGACAAAAAGACAAATGGAAGTCACTATTGTACCTGCTTTTAATTAAGCAATTGACACATAAAATACGTGCTGTCCCCCTGCCTGAACAAGGAGATCCAAAATGATCTCAGTGTTAGATTCCAGTGGTAGGTCTGGGGACTCTGCCTGAACAAGGACATCTAAAATGATCTGAGCTCTGGGTGCCAGTGGAAGATTTGGGGACTCCTTGGAGCTCTATGCTGAGCATGGTGGAATGGGGAGAGCTGGCCCTCAGTGCTAGGCTGTTCCTGTCTTTCCATGCCCAGCTCATTTGGAGTGGGCTCAGGGTGGACTGGACATGGGACTTTTCAGGTCTTTGTGCTTGAGCTTGGTAGTAGACAGGCAGGGAACCAAGCGGTAATGGGCCAGGTTCAGGCTTGGCATGCCTCCTTTTCCCTGAGGATGCTTTCAAATCATGGAGACAAGCAGGACCAGAGGTTGGCCAGAGCAAGTCCCTTAAAGGACAGAGCCCAGGACAGGTGTTGCTGTTGCCTGAGCCTAAGGGAGGTCCTGACTTCCAACCTGTGCCCTCAGCTGTTCTGTTTCTTCTCAGGGAGAGGAACAATAATTGGCTTTTTTCCTTGCATGCATCCTCCTTCTCATTCAATTGTCTTTTTACAAGTTAAAAATCTTAATTCTTACGTATAACTTATAAAAGGGCCCAACCAGTATAAACATTATCTATAGCTCTTCCATGAATATCAAGTCTCAACAACCAAATTGCTTAGGAAGAATCAATTTCTGATCTGCTGGTCATACCTATCCTGCTAATCCAATCATTTACCAGCTTTATTTTTTTACACACGTCTGATTGTCATTAATCCCATCAAACCAGGGCCTTCAGCATTGCATTGCAATGCGTTTTTAAACTTACTGTCAATTGGGGAGCCATTGACTCTCCACTTGATTGTGGGTTGAGGTTCTCCTTCAGCCTCACATAACAAGATGCCATTGCTCCCGGTGCTATACACAGCACTCTGAGGCTTCTTTGTCCATCGAGGAGGCTCTGGACATAAAGTGAAGAGCTCATGAGAGATGTTATCTACGTCAAAAAGTCCAAAAATGTTAAGGCCTGTATGTCTTAATGTTTTTGTTCAGAGAGCAGACACTACAAAGGGTTTCATAGTAGCTCTTTTTGCTAAACTTGTTCTGCAAAGCAAGGTGGGAGTTGCTTTTGTGTGGTATGGTGTGTGTGTGTGTGCATGCACTTGTGTGTTTGTGTTTCCTCTGGACTCAGCATGTATAATAAATCAACATACTAAAAATAGTTATACAACCACTTTATTTAGCTATACAAGTAGCTACCCCACTAGGAAAAAGTGAGAGAAGAATAAGCAGATGGTGAGTTTATTTAGAGCTGACTACAGGTTATTTTCAAGCTGCGGCATGGCATCTAAAAAAGATGGATCACAATAATTATATTTTAAGAATTTTAAAAAAACTAATTAAAATGTTTAATGCTTATTTTGAATATGTATTAGTGATCTTATAGCCTTTATATACATATATATATAAAATCAATTTGAAAAATATTATTTCCTACAGATTCATTTATAAGAGGGGAGAGAGAGAATCCCAAAAGCAGCGTTTAGCTTTCTGTAGTTGAAACAATGGAGCAAAAGGTACCTTTAAATTACTTGTATCTTTCTTTATCCCAGTGTTCTAATATTACAATACTGCAGAGTATGTCAGAAATAAATGAGACATCTTACTTGACTTCAAACATTATTGCCATGGTTTATAACTTCATGAATATTGTTATGCCAGGAGTAAATAAAAGGTTTAGATAAAAGTGTGGACGGTTTGCATAATTTGATTTCAGAGAAAATTGCACAGAAGTGCAGGTAGCAACTCCTGCTACTACATCAAGTGTAGTTTGGTTATTTCCCCAAAGATATTTTGATTTCCATTTTTCATCAAAAAGAAAAGTCTTCAAAGATTCATGTATGTGTACAATGAAAAATATTATTAAAATTTTTCTAAGTAAAGGAGGAAAAGAGGAGTATATAAAAATAAAATACCTGTTAGTTCACCAGAAGAAAAAAAAGTACACAACTAACCCTGACAAGTTCAAGTCCAAGTAAGATAAGTAACTTTGTAATTATTCCACAGGGTGTGGACTTAATTGTTAAATTCCAAGTTAAATATCTGTATTCATAAGCTGTACTACCTGTAAATATTTAGTCACTTGGTTTAAAATTATGAACTGCTGATTCCTTTCTGAGGTGAAGGTTTATTTTTCCTATTTTGCATTTTTTGATGATATCCTTACTTTTTCTGGTATTTTCATATAACCAATATAAAATTATATATCTGTTAAGTTAGAGAAAAATATTCCATGTACATGAACATTATGGTATATCATATTTATATTACAAAACTACCATTCATGAAGTTATAGGACTATTAGTAATATTACTATTACTGAAAGGGGTCCCAAATTATCACCTCATTCATCCCTTTCACCTTATAGACAGAGAGGCTGAGCTTTGGAGAAATTGCCTAACTTGCCCAGGGCCACCAGCAAAGGAAGCTCCAGTTCCTGTTCTTGCCATTGCATAGATATATACACAGCAGCTATGGATGAGCAACATTAAGACCTTGAAGCCATGTGATTTTGTTTCTAATTCAGTGTTATCTTATGAATTTGTACCAAAGATAGGAAAGAAGGCCAACTCAATTTATGCTTCCAAATCCAAGCTCCCCCAATATTTATCAACTGACTCAAGAAGTTCTGAACATTCACTAGGCTTCATCACTGTACTTTACCTAAACCCTCTTTACAAGCTTTCTTTATAATTGCTTGAACGTTTACTTTGATAGTTTTCATCCGGTTGTCCTACAGAAGTAAGCCGGTCCTGAACCATGTAATATTGAGAGAGACTTCAAGCTTGTCCTGTTCAGAAATAGCTACTTCTTGAGCCTTAAAACAAAAAATTCTGAGGGAAAAAACCATCCTCATTGAATCCCATTCTTTCATCTATTATCCTAAGATATATGGTGGGTGAAAATTGCTTATGTTGAAACTTTATGCATTTTCTCATAATTGTAAATACAATTGTGTTGCTGGAAACAGAGATGCAAATGTCTGAACACTGGGATTATATAATAAGCAAGCTAAATAGAGATGCTTACCACTACGGAAAAAAACAAAATAAAACAAACTTGGTACCTATAAAACATACAACACAGTGGTGATTTTTAGTAAAACTGCTTCATCACAGGTTCCTATTAAAATATATATTTTAATAAATCAAAAATTGTTAGGTTCAACAAAAATTGGATTTAATTGCAACATTTAAAAAATAGATTTGTTATTTGAAAACAAGGATTTCTCAAGTATATTAATGACTTAATTGCATTTGACTTTGTAACAACGTTTGAAAATGCAAAAACATTTTGGATTATATTATGGATCTATAATTATGTATAAGTGCTTTTGTATTTCACTAACTAAAATTCAAAAGCTTTAAATAATTCAAAAGTTGACAACATAAAAATTATTGGTGGGAGCTTATTTTTAATAATATATTAAAATGTGATTGTGATTATATTTTGATTTCTGGATGTAGAATGTTTCACATGTCACTCTAATATATCTCTTTTTATTGAACATGTAATTATTCATATCCTAGATATCTAGAATATATAGTTGCACCTAGTTAAGACAACCTGGCTGCTTTTGCTCATACATGTTATAGGATTTGAAGTGCAGTCTGATTTCATATTTAGGATGTTGTAACCTAAATTACAAGCTCTCAGGATTTGAATATGTTTAGTAATAAGAAAGACATAGCACATACAGAAAGAATCCAATCCAATTCATGATTTTACTTAAGTACAATGGATGTTTTCAGAATGGAGTAGATTTTCAAAATACATAACAGCATTGCTATTTTCCCATATAGCAAATCGTTGTTATTTAATTTGGGATTCTAAAAAAGTGACAAAAAAGGAAAAGGAAAGGGGGCAGGAAGGCAGAAAAAAATGTAATAAATGTGAGCTCATCCAGATGATTAACCAAGTTTTTATTTACTGCTTTCACACTTTAGAAAAAGAAAGAAAGACTTCTTAAGCTCAATATGCTTTTCACTTGCATGGGTAAAGAGAAACTTCAAAAACATACAACTGAAGGTACATTAATAGTTTCTTACTAAAGGGAGAGGATTGAATGTTCCTCATAAAAACATTATTTACATCTCAATAGTGCTAATAGCTGTTTTATGAGTAGTGAGAACAATTTGTTCAGGAAATCTATATTCCTTTGGAGTCCTAGAGTCAACATTTTAAATTGCATAATTAATTTTACATCTTTGGTTTCTTTTTTTTGCAACCCTTGCAATTCTTTTGAAAGGTTTGGTTTTATAGTCAAGAAAAATGTGGCCAGATTGTTAAAATATTCAGCTACCGTAGCTGTGTTCCAGCCATCTGGAAGGGTTTCTAATAGTCAGCAACTTGGAGGAGAAGCTAACAATTAGATATGTCTGGTTCCTGGGTGTGTGTGTGCTGGGGAGGGGAAAAGAGGGTTATAGAAGAATACCCCTGTTGCACGATGTAGCCAAATGACACAGAAACATCAAATGATGACTAAAAATATAGATAAAATAAATCTTTCAAACTTGTTTACTCTGAATTTCTTTGTGAATTATTTAATGTCAGAGGAATATATCACTGTTTGGCAGATGTTGATGTTAATGCATAGTATTGGACTTTCTTCTATATAGGTTTTGCCTTCGTCAAGTCAAAAAAAATTAAATTTTCAACTTTGGTTTTCTATTCTGCCTACCTTAAATATTAATACACCTTACGGTAAAGGCTTGGAAATAGTGTTATTTCAAATGGGTGAATAAATCCACTATCTTAACATTTACTTGGGAGGGGAATTTGTGTCTCAGTCATTTTTTTTTTCCGTTAATTGAAACAACAGATATCACTTAGGTGTTACTTGTGCAAACTGAAGCTTTAAGAGGTGAACTTTATTGGAATATTAATGAGTGCCCCAGAGCAATAGTCCACTAAATTGTAGTCTAAAAAGAATAATTCCTTTCAATCATTAAGCTCACACTGCACTAAATAAGTACAAATGCAGTAATCATTCCATTAATTTGATCAATACAGTCAATTAAACTGTAGATAGAAGGCCTCAATGTGATTGGATACACAGAAAATAATCTGTATCAATCACATTCAGAGGACTAGACAACCTTCACATCAGCCAACCAGGCACAGCCTCAATAACTACATTCCACATTTAAATGACGTCATCTTTGTCTACTTATTCCTATAAATGTAACAAATGCCAATACAATCTTGATTGATCAATATCTCTGAATTTATAGAGAGAAGATGACTTGAATATAATGTTTTGCACTTTTTGAGAGAATTAATATTATAGCATACAGTCTTTTCTTTTTTGCCTGTAAGTAACATACTGAATTTATCATCTGAGCCCGACATGGATTACAAAAATGTTATATCTAGTAGACAGCTAACACAACAATTTGCCTAATTCCATTTCTTTGGTGAAGAGACTGGGTAGAGAGAGTGAAATAAATGGAGAAGGGCACAGCAATTTAATTGCGGGATTATGAAGCAAAGTGCAAGCTTTCTTCCAGGCCCATTTTAATACTTTCTTTCATCATAATCCTTGCTGCTGCTTTTATGGTTTTATATTGTGAAGTGTACATGTATATTACAATGAAAATCATTTATCACACTATGACAACATGGGAGACTAGCTTTAATGACTATTTGAATAAATCATGTAAATGGTCTGTGTTTAATCCCTAACATGAGATCTTTTCTTGTCATTTGTCCCTTCTGTGTCATTTTGGAGGGTAAATGACAAACCTGCTTAATAGAAGTATAATATAATTCAGGGCCCACACTACAGTTAAAAGTTGAAATTGTTGACCTATTTTAACATATATGATTTAGAGGCAAGGCCCACTATGTATAGAGTAACTTTTTTGAAAAGCAGAAAAATAGACCAACATAGGGAACGTACCTTCTACTATAACATGAAAATCATGAGTGGCCGTTCCCAAAAAATTGCTGGCTGTGCAGCGATAATTTCCTTTGTCCTGGTAGGAGACATTCTCTATCTTCAAAGTCTTGCCATAATTTTCTTTTGTTTCTCTCCCCTTTGGTAAGTCACCACCAATTTTGTTCCAATCAACCTGTGGAGTTGGCCTGCAAAAAATAATGAAATAAATAAAGAAACATCTTTTAAAAGTGGAAAGTAAAATACAATGAAAACCTCAGGACACATCCTTTATCCAGTTGCTTTTACATATGTGCTCATATTCCACTGAATGACATCACCCTTACCAGTGGACAGACACACACACCACCTTCAATGGTGAACACTGGCATTGAAGCAAGTATACTTCATTGAAAGTTCCTCTAATGGTCTACCTCCTTGGAAATCTTCTCTCTCCTCTATTACAGGGGTTAACGACATGTAAGTACTGACTAAGTGTGGCTGGATGAAGGATAAATAATTGGAGTCTAATGAAATAATATTACCAAGATATTTTCCAAGTGTGAAAATCTCCCCCTGGGTGGTTTTGAGGCAGCCAGCGATAACAGCCCTCCTTCCTGCATGTTTGTATAAAACAATAAAGTAGGTCCTAACAGTTGCAGAGAGAAGTTTCCCCTCTAATTCTATGATGCTGATACTGGAGATGTGGCTTCTGTGTGAAAGCTAAACATGTTGGTTAGACCCACGAACAGCCTATTCTAGGGCAAACTGTAGTCTATAGCACGGATTCTGCCTCCAGGATCACGTTCTCACTCTTGTGGCCAGTAGAGGAAAGGAGGAATGAATGAAAGATTCTCTTGCTTAGCGCCTTCAAAAGATTAGCTCACCCAATCACAACAAACAGGAAAGTAAAGACAAAACAAAACCAACTTGTTACACACCAATAGGATAACTTTCCCCATCTTAGTAAGGAGGAAAATAGGACTGGGGAGTCAAGGTAGCTGCATTTAAGAAAAACCTCTCCTCCTGAAAAACAGAGAAGTACAGAAGTCATATCCTCTGTGACTCATTTGATTTAAAAATTATGTGGAAACTGTAAAGGGTTGATTCTAACTGAAGGATAATTTTTTTCTCTTCCCCAGTCAAGATCTGATAGTGAGTGGAATAAACAATTCTGCTAATTTTATTGATGCTACATTTTTCCTCTCCAGATTTCTTAATATTATTCATAGCAGTACATTATTGGGTACATTCTGACTATGGGCATTATTGTAATCATTTAACAGTAAGGAGTCTGAAGCATCAAGAAAATGTCTTAAGGTCACTGGAGTAATAAATGATATACTAAAACTTAATTTTGTCTACTTTAAACTTGTTCTTTTTTCAGTGTGTTCTATTATTTTGTGCTTTTCAATCATGCCCTTCCTAACTCCATAGTCTTAGAATATATGCTTTCTGTCAAACTGCCCATTAGTTACTATGTAACAATTGAGCAATTCCTTGAAATCCTGTGTGTCAATATTCTCAAATTATTTGTATTGATAAGTTGGGGTTAAAATAATTCAGTTATTTATGGAAAAAATTGGAGGTAAAGATGAAGGCTCTTAAATCTACATTTACCTACTCTTTCCCCTCTTCTTTCAAGGCTCAAGTAGTAACCTGCCTTGTGGCCTGGAACAATTATCTTATATTTTACCAGGCAAAGAGTACATGGCACTCTTGTGTAGGAAACAGTAATGATGCTGGTCAGACAGCTGTGAGGGTATATTAGCTGTTGGCTTTCTGAGCACACCACCTAACAGGATGCATGACCCAAGTCTCCTAACTGCTGGCTTTTCACTCCATCTGTCAAAATGACAATTTGCCAAGTTACAGGCTGCTCTGGAACTCAGTTCCCTTAAAACACGAATTTTTTATGAGTTCATCCTTTAATAGAGCAAGCAACTAATTTTCAGCAAACTCTCCTGGACTCCCCGGTCTTTGGGTCTTTGAAAACTAGTCTAAATTTCTAATATCACTTACTTGAAAGAATAAAGTAAAATAACTATCTCTAAATATTTTGTGAAAATGAGATAGAATTTAATATCAGGATAGGTCTGTACCACGGCAAAAATTTCCAGCTCTATTCTTGACAAATTTTTTTATACCCCTGCCTTTTAAAAAAAATAAATTTAAAGAACATTTACTAACAGCATTTGAGCAGTGTTTTGAGAGAAAATATATTGCTTAAAACCTTTTTGTACATAAACATACACTATCTCATAATCTCAATCTTTTTCAGGCCCTTGTCTGGCCAACTTTTATTTGTATATTTCTCTATTTATAAAGTAGTATCTTGTGAAAAAAATCATACCTATTTTAAACTCATAAATTTACAAAACAGAAACAAAAACATTTTGAGCAGTACAGATGAGTCCACCTATGGCCACTTTATAAGGAATGAGTGAGTGTGAAGTGGTATAGGAATGTACTTTTTACCTGAAGATAGGTTTCCCTGCCTGTGCCTCTCCTGAAGAGTAGAAAACTATTTCTCATAATGAGTCAAAACATCATTTTAACTTTTCCCAATCTCCACATTACCCACAGAATCTATAGAATCTAAGCCCCTTGATATGAGTATTCCTTTGAAAGTTCTCCTGTTTGAATTAATACTATTAATGTTTTCATTATTATTAACCATTTACTGAAATATCTACTATATGCAACTTCTTTAGGTTCAGATGCAGTGCCATTCTTTACCTGTTTGTTTCTTCCCCCTTTAACTGAACCAAACAGTTCATTTTGTTCAAATATTATGGTGAAGTAAGTTCAATTTAAAGATTCTTTATGGTTTTGGGGACAGACAGGGTGGAATCCCAGCTTCAGCATATAATAAACTTGGAGAACTGAATTTAACTCTCTAGACTTCATTTACCTACCCTGCAAGTGGGAATAACAAAAGCCATGAAACGTGGTGTGGATAAAATGAACTAATGTATGTGATGTACAAAAAGAGATTAAGCATTATATTTTCCCTCAAAACACATTTGTTCAAATGCTGTTAGTAAATGTTCCTTACATTTAAAACAAAGGGAGATAAAAAACATTGGCAAGAATATAGCTGGAAATTCTTGCCAAGATATAGACCTGTCTTGAGATAAATTATATCTCACATTCACCTGACATTAATAATCATTTTACTTTATTCTTTTAAGTAAAATGTATTAAACAATTAGACTAGTTTTCAAAGACCCAAATATAGTGCTTGACACAAAATAATAGTGCAATATCTTAATTATAATTATTTTTGTTACTGTAGAAGGTTAATGGTTTGAAAACTTTGTAGAAAAAGTTTTATTTAAATGACCCTAAAGAACTTTTCAAAAATGTATCATGTTCTTCTGAAAGAGGACCCAGATCAGATAGGATTACCCAACACAAACCAGTATGAGTAAGAAGAAACTACTTCAGGTGAAAATATTTAGGACAGTGCATCAGGAATTTTCATATCCTAACAACAACATGTATTTTCACACACTCTATTTTTATATATTCCTTCATGTCTCTTCATTTTCTAAAAAGCACACGAGAGACTTTCATTACCTTAAAGACATTTTGTGCAGTTGCTAGTCAATACAAGAGGTCAATTATGGTATTTGTGGGAAATAAGAAAAAAAAAAAGAATTACTGAAATAATTATCCTGCCCAAAGGGTCAACTCACAATAGTGATGAACTCTGCAAGAATTTAATTTCTACCACTATAAATACATACAAATACAACTAGTAAAGCAGGTGGTTGCCATTTTAATTCAAACTCAAAGTAAGACTTTCATCTTCTAAAACAATACACAGACCAAACATTCTGAACAGAGTGTGTATCATAGTACTTCTAACTAATGTATGTAAATATACATTGGGAGTTTAAGACAGACAAGTAACTTTGATATTTTTGGTGAATGAAAATAGAAATGTATAAAGCTTAGGGGTTGTAAAACCATTAAAATCTACTCCATTTCTAAACCGGTCATTCAGAATGTACTCTAAATTATGAATGAATATGATTTTTAAAATTTCAAATTCTACTCCACTAACTAGACTCCCCAAAGCCCTTAGGTTACAAAGATTATATTTCAAATGAGTAAACTCAAGTGCTAGGAAGATGGAATGCATTTTCCCAAGGTAGTCTCAATGGTAGGAAAAGACCATAAGTTCAGAAGGATAGTGGTAAAAACAGGAAAAGATGTATGATTAAATATTAAATAAGATGGTCCCTGTTCACATGTACTTAACAGTAGTTAATACAGAACAGTTTTAAGAGGTGACCAAGTGAGGTCTCTTAGGGTTTTCTTGGAGGATTTAAAGAAGTGCATTGTTTTTTCAGGTATAAAGAAAGTTCAGTTAATTAAATTTTGATGTAAAACTCTCTTAAATTACATGGTCTGGACCTCCATGTGTGCAAAGGGCAGCAGATAAAAATAGGTAAGTAGGGCTCCTTGGAACCTGAAAAAGGAGCAGATTTAGTTAAGTAACATAGTAAACAGGAGTAAGGCAAGATAGTATATAGCAGAGTGAGAAAACCAGGCACCAAGAGTGAGGGGCTGACTATCAACAACCTCATGCTTCTTAAACTTAGCTAAGGAGAATGTTGTCATCAATCTCATCAATTCACAATATCACAAATTGACAGAGAGATCTAATTTTATGAACCTCAGTTACTGCCTTAAGTCTGTAGAGTGAAGTATAAATTCTTTCCTCCAGACATGTAACAAAAGGATTTATTTATTTATTTATTTTAATTTAATTTTTTTTACACGAGGTCTTGCTCTGTTATCCAGGCTTTAGTGCAATGGCATAATCACAGCTCACTGCAGCCTCAAACTCCTGGGCTCAAGCAATCTCCCTGCTTCAGCCTCTTGAGTAGTTGGGATAACAGTCCTGAGTAGAATATCAGCAGTGCCTGGGAGAATTTATTTTTTTTTTAACAAGAAAAAAGTAACCCCATAAAAAAGTGAGTGAAGGATATGAAGATACTTCTCAAAAGAAGGCACTTATGCTGCCAACAAACACATGAAAAAAAGCTCATTCATCACTGATCATTAGAGAAATACAAATCAAAACCGCGCTGAGATACCATCTCACTCCAGTTAAAATAGTAATCATTAAAAAGTCAGGAAACAACAGATGCTGGACAGGATGTGGAGAAATAGGAATGGTTTTCCACTGCTGGTGGGAGTGTAAATTAGTTCAACCATTGTAGAAGACAGTGTGGCAATTTCTCAAAGTTCTAAAAGTAGAAATACAATTTGACCCAGCAATCCCATTACTGGCTATATATCCAAAGGATAATAAAATATTCAAAGGATAATAAGTCATTCTACTATAAAGACACATGCACACCTATGTTTATTGTGGCACTGTTCACAATAATAAAGACTTGGAACCAACCCAAATGCTCATCAATAACAGACTGGATAAAGAAAATGTGGCTCATATACACCATAGAATACTATGCAGCCATAAAAAATGGTAAGTTCATGCCCTTTGCAGGGACATGGATCAAGCTGGAAACCATCATTTTCAGCAAACTAACACAAGAACAGACCTCATTTTCTCACTCATAAGTGGGTTCTGAACAATGAGAACACATGGACACAGGGAAGGGAACGTCACACACTGGTGCCTGTTGGGGGTTGAGGGGCTAGGGGAAGGCTAGCATTAGGAGAAATACCTAATGTAGATGATGGGTTGATAGGTGCAGCATACACCACAGCAAGTGTATACCTAAGTTAACAAACCTGCACATTCTGTACATGTACCTCAGAACTTAAAGTATAATAATAAAAAATAAAAATAAGAAAGAAAGATGTATATTAAAAAACAAACAAACAAACAAACCAACAAACAAACAGGTGGCCTGAGCAGAGTATCTGCAGTGCCTGGCAGAATATATCTTTTTTAAGGAAATGATTTTTAAAATGTCTATGCAAGCACAGACTTAACGTGCTTGATGCCTTATTTTTTACACAACTGGATGGACAAAGTCACAAGTGGAAGTCAGGTTACTCACAAGCCTTCAGCAAAACACTCAAGCAGCAAGGTTTCCCCTTTGAGGATGGTAATTGAAGACTCACTGCCACTCTCAGTGGGAGGCAACAGCAGTCTGGGTTTTCTTTGCTTGATTGAATTTGCTACAAAATAGAAAAGTCAGATTATTTTCAAATTAATTAAAATTCTGTGACACTAAATCTTTCTTAAAACATAAAATCTGACACATATGAAGGTGTATGTGGTATTCATATACACATTTCAACATATTTCCATTGAAATAGATTCCTCTTCTTTCTTACCATGAAGCATGGGTTGTCCCTCAGATGTTTTTACTGAGTGTAGCACTGCCACATTTTATAAATGTTATTATTTATACCATATCTTCTAATTCAGAAGCTCAAACAGAAGTCCTTAAATTAAATGAAAGTCTATGATTTTATATTCTATACTTTAATCATGTCCAGTCATGTGCAATGGCTTTATGTTTATGTTTTTACTTAATTTAAATTGCCTAAGGATTTAATAAGTTTTCTGCTAAAAACAGCTTCCTCACTCCTGTACCCAGAAATTCTCACTGAGGAAGGCTGTAGTAGATAGTAGGCATCTGTGAGTTTGTCAAGCTCTTTCAGCAACTCTACCTATAGTCTCAGTTCCTTAAAGAGAAAGACTGTTTTAGGAAATGATTAGCAAGCATCCTTACTACTAGCATATTGAAATGTCCCACTTATTTTTTTAAGAAAATACTTTTTAAATACAGCGGCAAATTAGGAGACTTTCATCTTCAAAGCCGCTTAAGCGGTAGACAGTCCTCTATACTTTGCGTTTACTTTTTGAAAAATAATTGTTGAACATGTACTATGTGCAATGATGCTTTATTGAGTGCTGTGAAGATATAGCACCGCATATGTTGGAGTTATTAATCTCAAAGGAAATGATGCTGGGGATGAATCAGTCCACCTTAAAACCGACGGTTCTTCAAAAGGAGCTCACATCCTTCTCCACTGAAGTTGCAAATATATAAGATTATCTAAGTTATATCACTGGTCCACACTTTACAGAGAATATTTGTTGCAGTTATGTAAATGACTCTTATCATTATAGAGAACTAGGCTGCTATACAACTAAGATTTACTCAGGCATTTTCCAGAGAACACAAGTTCTGGTAGAAGTTCTATGGGGAGAAAAATTTAATAAAAAGATTACATAGATGCATGAGCTTGAAAAATGCTACAAACTGGTTTTTTTTCTCAGAAAGTCACAATGTACAGTTGCATATCCAATATTCCAAGAAGTTTTGCAAGAAAAAAATATCCACTTAACCTTCTTAAACCCAGTACGTTCTCTACTGCTTTGACAGTTAACCATTTCTCTTTTTTTTTCTTTGTGCAAAAGTATCAACCTTATAAACCAGAAGAGACATTTTGGGAGACCCAAAATAATTACTCCATTGAATATCTCTATCTATCTATTCATTTTATTATATATATGTATTTCATTATATTTATATAGTTATATATTTATAAAGATCACTCACTTTGCATATATTTAATAGAACCCCCTATGTTAACATGTTTTCCTTAGTATCAGTATTGTAATAAACTTATGAGGATATTAAAAAAAATTCAAAATCAGATGACAATGAGGTATAAACAAATGCCAACACTCCCCATGGGTTCAACTTACCCTTGGAACCAATTTCTGTGGATGAACTTGAGTCATTAGCATGCTTTACTGAAACAAAAAAAAAATGGAAGGAAAAACAAACAAAATGGTAGATGCTGATATCAATAAAGAATGAAAAGTCATAGTTTTGTCTTAGAAAAATTACAAAATGATGTAGAACCATGCTTCACTAGAACACTGCCTTTGGGGATATAGTTTTACATAGAAAAAAATTATAGTGAGTTTAATCTTGAATTATTGCAGAGGAATCCAGGTGGAGAAGATTCAAGTTATAGCTCCATTAAAGAGAATTGAGGCTACCAAAAGAATGATATAGTGAAGCCCTGGCATGGCATAACTACACATAAAAATGAAAAAAATCATGGACTAAATTAAACGATAAAATGGTAATGCCAATGTTAAACTATATCAGGGCCAATTATTCATCAGCAAACTGTTGGGGATTATCTCTTCCCTTTGAATCTTATGGTTCTTCCTCCCTCTAATTACTTTTCCCATTTGGGAACCCAGACTGGCATCTGCAGATCGAGTAGGGAATGGAGCAATTCAAGTGAGTTTGCCAATTTGGTGATAAAAATTCTTTTTGCTTTTGCCTCTGTTGTTTTCTCCCCCATTTTCATTCTGCCAGTTTATCCATGATCACAGTGAATCAATGCTGAAGATTAGCTTAGAAAACACTGGAATTTCATCGCATATTTTGCCCACTGAGTATGACTAGATCCTGCAGACGTCAGATGAAATACATTTGTCCTGTGAATTGAGATTTGATTTTCTGGCTGTGAGAGACAGAGCTACTGTGGATCTGCAGCTGCAGATGTCTATTTCATCTGGAAGAAGTCTCTAGAGTTGAACTAAACAATGATGGAAAATATCAACCCAGTTTTAAATGGCTTCAGCCAGAAGGAAATTACGGACAAATTTGCATTCAGCATACATGATGAAACAATAAATTATTTGGACTTACAACTGTTAACTGTTAGTTTCATTGGCATTTTCTGTACAATAGTCCTTAATCTTGGAAATGCAGCAAAGCAACAGTAATCATTCCGACTGTCTTTTTCTTCCACGTTTGCGAAGTATAGATCTCCCTTTTGGCTCATGTATACTCTTTCATCTTGTTCGATGTGTTCCAATTCTAAAAAGAGATTTCTTGCCATTGAAAAGATGACCCTTATTGTGCCCCATCTTCTTTGTTCATTTTCTTTTCTTTTACATTATTATTTCATTTAATTTTTCTTGTTTGCTCTTCTAATTCCTCTCAAGTCTGATCTTACTATAGGAACAATGAGGAAAAAGGAAAAAAAAAAGCCACAAAACCCCTGGGAGCATACTTTTTACCATTAACCAAAGAAGGCTACTGGTAGACAAACAGTGGTACTCTGTTTTATAGGGCTAAAGGCCCCACAGGATCATGGGGTGTCCCTTATGCTATTCTGAGGTGCAGGATCCAAGAAATAAAGAGACAGGACACAGAAGTACAAAGAAAGCACAGCTGGGCTTGGGGAGGGGCGCATGCCACCTATAAGTGGAGACAGGTGAGGCCCCGAATGTCCATAAGCATCTGTATGTATTAGGTATAGGTTAGAGGGCAGGGTAGTGAGTGAAGTCATCTTTAAGGATAATGATAGGGTTGTGAGCAATAAAAAAAGGGATCCACCCCCATTAGGTCACATAGGCTAGGAGGTGGAATATGTGCAGCAAGGGGTCCACCTCCATTAGGTCATCGAGGCCAGGAGGTGGGCCCTGTGCAGTAGGGGGTCCACTCCCATTAGGTAACCAAGGCATGAAGGTTTATATAAAGGGAAATAACTGAGTAGTAACACTGTAAACTGAGATATTCTTCAAGCCCTAATTCTATAAACTAATATATGATTATATATAAAGGATTATATAGAAGGAAATAACTGAGTAGTAAGACTATAAACTGAGATATTCTTTAGGCACTAATTGTGCCAGGATTCTGCTTAGCTCTCCTTCCTTGGTGCCTATATGGGGGGTTACCCACACTGTTTACCATCTCAGCCTCTACCTCTGCTCTATCAGTCTTCATTGGCTAATGCAGACAATTAACTGGTCAATGCAAACAATTAACTAATTATTATTTGTATTTTCTGAGATCACATTTATTTAAAACATTATTTTAAAAGAAAAAAAAAGCTCTTCAGTAGTTTTATCTGTGATATTAATCTCACTGTTCTGGATGCAGTCTGGAAGGTTCTATGGGAACTGAAGGCTGGAACAATTGGCTGTACCCAAGAGTAGCTTTATTTGCTTTCTTTTGAGTGCTGTACAAATAGCATTTTTTCTCAATGGTTCACAGTGAGAAAACACGTAGGGAGCACTGTTAAGGCATATTCTAGCAGTAGACCTTGCAAGGCTAGAATTTCAGATCAGAATCAGTAAAGCTTTTGGAAAATTAAGCACAAAGTTAATACTAATTTCTCAGTGGGTCACTGCATTTAGCAGGTAGGACATTACTAAAATAGAAAGATGAAGCTAGCAACGCAGACACATGCCATCCTCAGCTTTCACATGATCTATATTCCAAAGACAAGTGCACTGTTTAAAATAAAGAAAGTGTTTTCTTCATAGACAAACTTTATCATATCAGTAGCCTCTCCTTTTCAAATATGAAAATAATTAAGAGGGCTTTGTTTTTATATATCTTTGGATTCATTATGTTATTGATATGATGGATAAAATGAAAATGCCCCCCTTTTTTGATGGAACAGAGCATTACTTACCAATATTCATCCAATAAATGTGTAAAGGTGGGAGGCCTTTGGGAGGATTGCATGGGAGGACAATTGGATCTCCCTCCTCCACTTCAAGAGGGTCAATATTTTCTTTTGGGAATTTTGGAACACCTGGCATAAAAAATCATTTTAATGTGTTATTTTAAAATTAACTTTGACTATAACAACAAATATCTTAATGCATTCTTTTCTTCAAAATTGAGCAATTTTAATAAATTCTGTGCCACAGATCCTGGTTCTTACACTTCCTCTGCAGAGATAAATACTATTAAGAAACTGGTGTGCATCTTTACACAACCTTAAAAATATTTCTGCCTTTTGAAACCCCAGACAATAATGTTTCGATTATATGACAACAATAAGGCAATAATATAGTTGTACATATTTCTCTGAGCAGAGATATAAATCCAGAGTCACAGGATTTGCATGCTTTAGCTTTGACAGACGTGAAATCTTTTTTTCCAAACACTGATTTCACTTTGGGCAGTTATATATTCTCTGTCTCTTGCTTTATTGGGAAGGTCTTGAATGTGATTGGCAAATATTCCATTCAGAGCATTAACCACACTAAATAAAAAATTCAAAGCCCATATGGAGAAAATGGTAAGAATGCAATGAAAAGCCAAATTTGACCACTTTAAGTTGCAAAAAGAGCCATCCACATTGAAATTACTCCCAGTAAGTAAAAACTTAAATGAAATGGAATTGAAGTAGGAAATAAGACTTGCCAATATTTCAATCTATTGTTTCCTCCCCACACTGGAATCAATTTCTTAAAAAAGCAATGCAGTTATAATCAGAATATAAATCAGAATTGTGCAGAATTTGAAATCCAACACCAAAGTTTAATATTTCTATGAAAGCATTGATATTTATAAGGATATTCAAAATGTATTCTGCCTGAACATTATATTGATCCCTTTCAACTTTTGTTGGGGGAATTTGCATTAGAGAATTACACAGGCTTTTGTGGAGGAGACAGATGTTAGGAAGGTATTTGTAACAGTCCCGACTTGATGAAATTCATTAGGAGGTATTCTATTTTTATATTTCATTCTTAAATTGTGATTCACAGTCGATTTCCATTGTTCTTAGAAATCTAAAGGTTTACTCATTTACTGTAAAATTTCTTCTTCAGAAGCTTTGTGCTTTTTATAAATTTGTCCTACAGCCCCTTAACCCCCACCCATGCCTTTAGAGGTTGAGGGAATTTGCTGACATTTCTCTTATGGATGCACCAGCTGGTTACAGTGAATTGCTTTTTGTCTAAATTCAAGAACCTTTCAAAGCTTAACATTGCAGGGGGCAGTGTGGTTATTACATTGCCTGTGCAATTTCAGAAGGCAGACTTTGGTTCTCTCTCTTTTTTTTTTTTTTTTTTTTTTTTGTTCTCTTTATACATTCAGCCATGTGACAGTCCTTTAGTGGATTCCCTCCTGCTCAACTCCTTCTATGAGATTTCTTTTAGAAAGTCACTGGAAACATTTTTCAAATAGCAACCATCTTTGAATCACATTTCTACTATAGGTAGCATGAAATTTCCCTCAAATGTCAAGAAAGTACATTCACTACATTAAGAGCTTGTAGATAAAATATCATGCCAGCTATTTGGTAAAGTCTCAGCTTTGACTGACAGCAAATGTTATGGAAAACCTTTTGGTTGTTTGGAAAGTATACCTTATATACATAAGGCATAGTAATATACAAAATATTTATGTACCCAAATCTCCAAATTCAAACCACTTGTTTAGTTTTATTTGCTATAATTTAAGCCCAGTAAACACTGGCATTGAAGTTCATGGTGCTGTTGAGTAGTTGGTGAATCTATTTATACTCAGATACAAGGGGCAGCAGAGGAAGTAAAATATGGATTAGAAAACGGAAAGGACATGTAACCCACTTCCATAACAGCAAACTGTACAGTACCTAATATGAATACACAGTTCACTGGATAATATCTAAGGTAGTTAATTAATAAGATGTATAAATCCCTAGTTGGAGAGCTGCTCCCTGAGAGCATTCAAAAAAAATCTAGCAATTTGAACATACAGTACTGCCAGTGAAGCATTATTCATTCTTGCATTAAGTAAATCTACATTATACGATTCTAATTCTAAAAATGTAAATTTGTGATTCAACTGGCTTCTAAGGCACCAACAATAAAAAAGAAAATACAATTTATTACTCTGCCAAAACCTTTATCACATGCCATAAATCTTGGGAACAGCTCTTAACTAAATATGAAATTAATATTGGAAAACAAGGATGCATACTTATACAACAATTAATTTAAGGGTTTAGAAGACATATAAAAGACATTAATTTTGCAGGATTGTTTTGTGTCTTATCCTTTGACTTTGAAACTATTTACTGAGTTTGATGCCATGACAAGAAGTGAAAATTTTAACATTAACAGATAAATGTGAAATTTAATTACTATAACAACAGAAGATACCTTAATTCAAATAAAGAGATAACTCTATTTAACAATAACTTCAACCAGTGGCATTTACTGTGTTTATCTGGTGATAAACATTAGTATTTTTTGAGTTTGGATAACTGTAATACTTTAAAAAGTAAATTATAAACGATAATTGTATATGAGGCAACTACACTCCTTTATCTTGCCAATATATTTCAATGGATACTTCGTGACACCAAAACCAAAATCACTTTACTTTGTCTAAAGACTGGACTTGATCTTGAATGGCCTCTCTGCAAAGGGATCAGAGTCAACTTGCACGTAACAGTCTACCTAAGCAGAACTTTAAGAATGTTTAGAAATCCCATTATAACCAAGTCTAGATGAGATCAATTTCCTTTCTATATAATGCCATATTAATCTATTGCATCAGCAAAGCAAGCATATCACAGCATCTATCTTTTCACTCTTCTCCAATAGGCTTTCACATTTATCATTTAGTGTCATAGACAGATTTCTGGCAACAACTAACTCCAAGGGTATAAGTGACATTCAAATATATTCATATCTAGGTTCTTAAAAACTTCCCAAGTTAAAATCTATCATGGAAAGCCTTTACTACAGACAAGTTAGCTGCACATGAGTCTTAACACCAGAACTATCAAGGCACAACCAACCTGCAAATACAAAATTTGCAGGAGCTCTATGACTTTAGGTGCTGTCAGTGAGTTTTGAAAACTCATCATCCCAATTATTTCAATGTAATGTACAGAAAAGTAATATCTTCATTCCTGAAATAAAGAAGACGTCTGAAAACAGAATTTATATTTATAGGATATTCAAAGGATAAACCAGGTTCTAGCCTAGGCACTAGAAAACTAACTGTTTACAAAGATTCAGACCAGTATCTTTACCTTTCTTTATCTCACTTGTTTTCCTTTGGCATCTGAGAATCCTTTGAATTCATCTCTTTGGACTCCTCAAACACCTCACCAGCGTTTCTTAAGGATAGGGATATAATAAAACCTAAGCTGTGTAATCGCATCATGCCAACATGCTTAATAATGAAGAATAGTAGTGAAATGGTATCAGGGAAATTTAACTAAATACGATTCATGCTAACTCACCACTTTGACGAAGAAACCACTGGCATCTAAACCACTACCATGTTACACAACACTACAGATTATCTTTCTCTGGCACTCAAGGAATAAAATGGAGATTTCCTTATATTTTCCTATATCTAGATGATTCTGGTACTCTACTATCAAGGTATTTTCAACAAAGAAGTTCAACGCCTTTTTGCTCATCTATAGGATACGTTACCTGAGTCATCAAAGTATAGGCAACACACGTAGCATCAGGTTATCCATAAACACTGAAGTCAGCTGCTTGGGCCTGAGTCCTGGCTTCATCTCTTTCTATGTGATCTTTGAATCTGCCACTTAATATGTTTCAGTATCTTTATTCATAAACGGGAAATGTAATTACACCTTACTAATTTGATTTATGTTGAAATGTAAATATGTCATGTAAATTGATTAAAATAGGACCACGCACTTAAAAGTTACTCAATACATATTAGCTACTCATCAAATACTTTCACTTTGCATGGTACAGCCAAATGCATAGAGACAAGATGGGTAAAGGGACAGAGAATTTTATTCTGCTGCTGCTCCTGATTTTCTCTATAGCCTGCATCTTAACAACTTCTGTGATTTTGTGCAATTATCTGAATTAACTTTTTCAGAGAAGATGGAAAGACTGAGGGAAGGAAACGCTGTGCATTTCATGTAGAACCTATGATTTGTTTATTGAATTATTTTCCCTTTTTACATCATTGGACAAATCTTCCTATACCGAAAAGCTTTATCTATTTCAACTTGGCACTCTGTTTATAGGACTGACCTGGTGAGCTTTTGAGTGCTGTACATTTTACTTGAATATGCTTGGCGAATTGCTCACAGTCTGCCATCATTGTCACAAATGCATGCTACTGAGTGCACACAGTTTATCACCACTAACTCCAGTTTCCATCAGTAAAGAGATTTAATTTATTCCCATTTCCTGCAGAGTACCCCATTAATCCACTTAGGACTATACAGAAATAACACTACCTTTCAGTCTATGAGCTCATAATGAATTCATGCTAAGGAAGGACACCCAATTCAGCCCATTTCATTCCAGGCATTCACATCCTTTGGTGAATCAGAGTAAAATCCTTGAACTTAATTAAACCTTTAGAATTCAAAGTTGCTCTGTTAATTGAACAAATTGATCTGTTTTGGTTGGTTTGCACTTATTAGTAGGAGAACTTAACATAGGTTACAACACCCAGGTTTCCTACCTCCCAAATCAGAGTGGTAAAAGGCCAGGCTTTATCTTAAGGAAATTGTCCCGAAGAATCTGAAGAAGTTATATATAACAAATGTAGAAACCTAGAACATGAGTTTTTCTAATTAGTTTTCATTAAATTATTATATAGAAGATTGATCCCTGTCTGCTATTTCTTAGACTATTTGAATAGTGTGTGCAAATTGCATTGTTACTTTTATTCATTCTTTTATTCTTCAGCTTATCAACTAATAAATCAATCAAATAAAGTATAATATGCATTCTTGTGACAACTATCAGGCAATGTAGAACAGGAACAATATGATAGGCTGGTATTTTTCTTATTTTTAAGGATCCTAATTAATACATATGACAATAGATAGACTGTCCAAAACAGTACACAACTAAATGCTTTAAAAACCCAGGGAATTTGCAGCAGCACTACTTATAATAGCTCAAAATGGAAATAATTCAAATGTTCATCAGCTGGTAGATGGATTAACAATAAATGATATCCACATAGTGAAACACTATTCAGCAATAAACTACTGATATATACTACAACAAGGATGAACCTCCAAAACATGCTAAATGAAAGAAGACATATGGAAAAGACCATGTACATGATTCCATTTATATGAAATGTCCGGAAAAGTACATTTAAAAAGGCAGAAAGTCAATTGTGGTTGCCTAAGTCCTGGAGGTAAGAACAGAGAGTGACTGCAAATGGGCACAAGAAATCTTTTTGTGGTAATGGAAATGTTTTCATACTGTATTATAGTAACATTTCACTAAAAAAAATTACTAAAAAAGCCATTGGCCAGGCATAGTGGCATGTGCCAATAATTCCAGCTATTCAGGAGGCTGAAGCAGGAGGATCACCAGAGGCCAGGAGATTGAGACCAGCATGGGCAAAATAGCAAGACCCCATCTCTAAGATAAATAAATAAATAGAAAATGTATAAAAATCATTAATTATATACTTAAAACAGGTAAAATTTATAATATGTAAATGATACTTCAAAAAAGTTGTTTATAGCTGGACATGGTGTTACACGCCTGTAGTCCCAGCTACCGGGGAGGCTGAGGTGGGAGGATTGCTAGAGCCTAGGAGGATAAGGCTTCAGTGAGTTGTGTTTGTGCCTATGCACTCTAGCCTGGGCAACAGAGGAAGATCCTGTCTCTAAACAAAAACAAACAAAAAATTTGTTTAAAAACTCAGAAAAATGAATAATCTAGGCTGGAATAGGCTAGGAATGCTAAGTGGAGAAATCTGATCTGTGTGCTGAAGGGTGAGTAGTATTCAACAGCCAAGTTAGGATTATTTGTATTATCATTTTAATTTTACTGACAGTTAGATAATAAAGGCAAGAAAACAGTTCCCATTCCTTCCAGATCAATCACCATATGCATGCACAGGATGTACATTTCTTGAGGACAGTCTTTGATTTTATTCACTGTTAAATCCAAAATTACTAGAAAGTGGCTGGTGTATTATGGGAGTTTCAGAAAGAATGTTGAATAATTCACTGACAAAATCCCTATGCTACGTCTTGGATAACACATTTAGTTAAATAGTATTTCTTGCATATAAAAGTGGTACATTCTGTTTGTTTGGTGGTTGTTGTTTTTCTTTCACTCTTTCCCTAGAAAACTTAACTGCAATGTTGTTGAAAATACAAAGCTGAACATTGTATACAAAGGTTTCTGTTTGTTAACAGGGGATTGAGAAATAGAAACTCTAACATTTAAAACACAAAGTTTCTATCAATAAATGAGAAGAATCAATTCTCTAGCATTTAAGAGAAAAATCAATTAAAGACTATAGGAAGCTTTAAATTGTCTCTGATTGATAAACTCCTAAAGATTAGGTTGGGTTACTCTTCAATATATACGGTTGCAGAAAGCTGTCAGATGATGAAGTAATTTCAAGAAAGGCTAGAAACGATGTATAAGAAACCTCATTTATTTTGCTTTTTTCTGCAGCAGCAGCAAAAAACAAACAAAAAGACCCCAGAGCAATTATCCAATAAAATAGCTCGGATCCAACTCCCATCTCATCTCTTAATACAATACTCTCATATTCTGGTCAGAATTATCCTTGCATTGTTCATTTCTACACTTGGTCTGCATGGATAATGAGATAAAAAAAGATTTTGAAATCCTTTAATTGCAGAATCTTAAACCAAATTCTGCCATTCCTTTCTCTGCAATAGATCTAGCTGCTGCCTTTTCCTTTGTGTCTCCATAGCAACCACTAGAATTTAGGTTAGGGATCACCCTCATGACTTGCCTCCTGCAACAGATACTTAATCTGTCTCTTTCTCTAGACTTAACCTATTTCAGTTAACTATAAAAATATAATACATAGTTTCACAATTATCAACCACAGTTTTCATGGCAATACCTTCAGATCCAGAATTCGTGGACATTTACTACTGAATGTCAATTCAAATCCAAGCTCCTAAGGATAATTTCCAGGTTGACATGTCACTGCTCTGATGCTAAAATATCTCAGTAACTCAGAGATGTCTACTTGAGAGAAATCCACGCTAACATGCTAATTCTGCCAATTGTTTATATATATATATGAGTGTTTGTTTCTGGGTTGACTATGTCATTCTGATTTGTGTAACCCTGCACAAAGCGATAATGGCTTAATTCCTGAAGTGTTTATGCTGATTCTTGATTTATGAAAAGAAGTTCCTATAACTCGTTATTCTTTAAGAGTTTCTACTAAATTTTCTCCTTTGTTCCTCAGATATATTTTTGAATCAGCTGGTCACATTTCACAAATAGAGAAACAAAAACCAAACTATTTGCAATCTGATTTCAATTCTGTATATCAATCCATTAAGAATGAGCATTTTAACTGTATTGATTCTTCCAATAAATTGAAATAGTTTACTTATTTTCTATTTATCTAGATCTTTTTATGTTTTTTGTTAGTAAATATGAATACTTTCATGACAAAGATTACATGCCACTTTTTTGAATTTATTTTCTGTTTTTATCTTATTTTCTCCTTTCTCTATATTCTGTTGCCTTAAATTAGCTCATTGATTTTTACCCTAAAATTATGTTACATAATAAGCTAAGATCATCAACTTTCATCCTTTAAGCTTTTCTAATATGTCTTTAAAATGATAAAGATCCCTGTAAATAATGTGTTTACTGCATCAAATACGTTTTGTTATGTAGAATTTTCACTGTCTTCACTTCAAAATAGATTCTGTCTTTTCTTGTCATTTCCTACTTGACAGAAGACTCACTTAGAAATATATTTATTAACTTTCAAAGATATAAGTTTTTTAAGTTTTCTATTTATCAATTTCTAACTTAATTGCATTTTGATACGTTCCTCATAGCCAAATATGTCCTCAAATATAACCTTTTACCCTGTGTAAAATGTTATATTTGTACAAATATATAAATTTATACAGTCTAAAATGTATAAATTCATTTTGTGATTTTAGTTATAATAGCCTATACATTTTCATTAGCTGGAGCTTGTGATTGGACTCTTTAAATCCCCTGTGTGCTTACTGATGTTTTTCTCTGCTTGAGTTAGCAAATAATGAAAAGGATATGTTAATATCTCCTTATTATGGTAAATTTGTCTATTTCTCTTTATAGTTCCATTTTTGCTTCATGCATTTTAATATTATATATGCCTAGCAAATTAATCTCCATGAAGGCTTTTAAAAATAAAGTCAATTTTGACTGATATTAATATGGCCATACTTATCTTTCCTTTGGAAAACATTTATCTGGGATACTTTTTCCATCTTTTTCACTTCGCCAATTCTGTATTTTTATGGTTTAGATAAATGTACTGTAAAAAGTTTACAGCTTTTTTTTTAAACTCGAAACATTTATTCTATTTACTTTTATCTTTGATTTGTGATACATTTGAATTTGTCTCTTCTTCTTTCTTCATTTCTTACTTTTTCTTTTTCTCTACTTTCTTATATTTTTTTCTCCCCCTCCCATCAACCACATAGTGTGATAAAACATTTTTCCTATAATTTTAGTGTAAATATTCTATTAATTTTAAGATGTACACTTTATTTCTCAGTCTAAAGTTGATTTACATTCTCTCCTCTAGAATTATAAAAGAACATTAGAACAATTTAAATACAATGCCCTCTCTGTACTTTTGGGTTAAAGATTCTTCATCATTTGTTTTTCTGAAGTTTGTGGACATTCTGCACCCCCACAATCAACTGTTCATATTTTGCAAGGCCTAGAACTTTCTTTCAAATATTTTCTTGTCTAGGGCTCTAAAAGAAGAAATTGCTGAATAGAAGCTAGCTAGACTACAATTTACCCTATAAAGCCTTTGGCTAAAATTGTGTCATGGTGGAGATCTTAAGAACAGGGGAAAACATGATCAAATATAAAAGGTGGTCATGGATATCCCATGAACATTGGCCAAATATGCTACCAATAAAGTAAACTACTTTGGGGGACTATTACTGATCAATAAACACCTATATAACAGCAAAATGTCTTACAGTTTTACATCATTTTTATTTATCGTTAATATTAGCAATAGCTGGTTCTCCTCTCTTAATGAGCATCGTATTATCAATGTTAGGTGGAACTATGCAACTTGCTTTGCCCCATCTAACAAAACATGAGTGGGAGTTGCCTGTGTAACCTGTTGTCAGAAGCATTTAAGAGCCTGTATACAGTTTTTCATGCTCCTGTCCCAGACTCTTTGACCAAAATGGCATGTTTCACATGAGGTAACCACAGAATGATGATGTTCCCATTAGCTGAGATCAGCGAGAAGGCTACATAGAAAACAGTTGCCCTGAAGAGTTGCCAGGCCCATAGCAAATTTCCTTGTCAAAAAATAAATTTGTGTTCACGGAGAGGTTTTGGGATTATCTATTACTTTGAGGAATTTAGCTGAATTTAACTAATAATGTGTTTAATTCTCATGATATGAGGCAAAGCAGCTATTATGTTTTTCCATGTTAGATAAAAGGTTACTGAAACACAGCAAAATCATGTTGCTTTCTAAGGTCATCCAATTTTAATTGTCAAGACCTGAAGGAAATTTTTCCTTATAAATGAAATATAAGACACATATAAGTTGATTTAATTAATAATTGCTTTAGTTCATTGGAACCCAATATAACTCCTATTTAACACATCACTAAAACATTTGTAAAATGAAATTCCCATATAATACTTACTTGGAACTATAAATTCGATTTCTTCTGACATAGCAATTCCCAGTTTATTAGAAGCAAAGCAGCGATATTTCCCTTGAAAGTGAGATATGTGTCCCTCATTTGGGATCCTGAATGTTCCTGAATTGTTAGATGTAATTATCCGAGGGTCAGTGAAATAAAAAGGGTTGTCATCCTTAGTCCACGTAAATCTAAAAAATAAAACTAAACTTAATAATCCTGAAAAATAATAACATATTTTTAGAGTATTTATTAACAACTGCATAAAAAATGACAAAACTAAGACACTTTATGGTAATAAGTATATACTTAATAGACTATAACAGGATATAAATAAGGGTCTCAGAAGAATCTGAGAAATATTACTATCCATAAAATAGATTGACAAATGAGAGGATTAAAATGGAAAGTAGCTTTTTCTTTCTTTGATTAAAAATTTTTTTTTCAATTAGAAAGGTAATGCAGTATTATCATTAATATTCTGGAAATTACAAGAAGCATATATACTTTCTGTTCATGTAAATATGTATATGTGTAAGGAACTCACTCAAAATCCCAAAACACACAAGCCCAGTATTATTACACTTGATAATATTTCCTATTAGTATTTTTAGAATTTTGTCACATATTTGAGACAACTCTGAATATATAATTTGGCCAATTGAATTTTTCCATTATTACAATGATACTAAAGTCAATTTTCACAGCTACGTTATCTTCTGTCATATAGTTACTATTTTAGTTACTTATAACCATTTCAATGTTTTATGAAAATATTGTAAGAAACAACTCGATATGTTTATTCTTTGTACTTGTGCAAATATTTCTTTATCCCAATTCCTTAGAAATGAGATCAATAAATCAATAATTAAAAGCTTTTTATGGTATTTGATAAACATTGCAAAATTACATTCTAGAAAGAAAATGTGCACAAATTCCCACCCCAGTGTACTAGAGTGTCAGTTCTATGACAATGTCATTAAAAGTCTCTTTAAATCTTCATCAGTCTGATAGACAAATAATGACTTCTCAGATTGTATTCAGCATCGTATACTAGAATTACTCATGTAAATTTGGGTATATTTCAGAACACCATATTCTGAGACTAATCTAAGTGATTATTCTCCCAATAGGAATAACAAACCTTCATGAACATGTATCTTCATTAGGAGTAGGCCTGCCCAGCCACCCTCCTGACTTATTTTACTTCTCCCTGTGTGTTTTATATTTCACTGGTGACAAGTGTAGGGTATTATCTTTTGACATAATAATTCAGTTAATTAATGTTAACATATCATTATATTATCAATATATTTATATTGATTGAATAAATTCTTCTATATTCTTTTGTAATTCTATACATATTTACATATATTGTTTGAATATATTCCATCTTATCAAGTACAGAAATAATTATAATTTAGCATATGAACGGATCACTAACAATGATCATTATGAAATTATCAAGCAATAATAATAGTCATGATATAATTAAAAACCAGCAATTTTCATTAAATATGTGCATTCTTAATGAATATAATATAATCATGCAGATTAATAAAAATAGGTAGGTTAGCTTTCCACTATAGAATCATGTAGAATTTTAATACTGGGAATTTTTCATATTCCCTCTCCCTTCTCACTTCCAATAAATCCACATTTTTTCCTCCCCACACAGAAGGCATTTTGAAAAGCTCATCAGTGATTATGATCAACTAGAATAACAATTATTTAATTACAATATAAAATAATACCAGATGGTAGTATATCATGCAAATGGTATTCTGCCACCTGAGATGACAATATTTCTATGACAACTTAAAAAAAATCAAGTAACAACCTATTCACAGAATAAGATGTTTAAATTTAAAGACATACAATTATAAATATATATAGAATTATATTTACAAATGTGTAAATATTATTATTTTGACTTAATAAGTGCTACATTTTACTAACTAGAAAAAAGATCTTCTAGTTTTTAGCTACCTATTTTATTTGTAGATTAAGGGATTGTTGAGTATTTGTGCTGTACCAAAGACTACTCTAAATATTTTGTACAAGACCTCTTAGTTTATGGTCAAAATAAATTCAAATGGCAGAAGAACATATGTAAAATAACCAAACTTTATTTTTGTTTGCATGGATATTATTTTTTTGTAAACCCTTAGCTTCAAACGTGTAGATTTATAGTCCAACAAGTTTATGATGGTAAATGTAAAGAACCATATAAAGAACAGAGCACATTTAAAGAATCATTTAATTTGAAAGAATACTCACATTGGTTCTGGATTCCCTTTAGCCTCACATTCAATTTGAAAATACTCGTCGAAGGGAAAGGCAACTTGGACTTTTGACTGTTTTATGATTGTTGGAACCTGTTGAACTAAATATTAAAATATCTACTTAAAAACACAGACTCTTCAAACACTGGGCAAAGTTAATTTATAATGGAAACACTTTAAACCTCTTTTGTACACTAATAAGTGAAAGGATGATACGAAAGTGAAAATAATAGACTAAATCTCACTCTTTGCCACACGTACTTACTTCTAAGGAATACACTTCACTGCCATCATTTCATGTTTTCATATGTGTTCATTCTATTTAAACCCAGAATATTGTAACCATTTTTAAAGCAGAAGAAAAGTTGCTATGTCATCACAACTTTAAAATATCTATTATTAAAATTATTGGCTTCAATTCATGTTAGCATGCATATAAATTTTCACTTAGTTCAGTCACTTTGAAAATTCTTTTTTTAGTCTTCCATGTTTCTGTAAACACTTATAATTAATTTATCACTTTTATATTATTTCTTCTCACTAGTATGCTATAATATTTAATAATTCTATTACTGGGTATTAAATTATTATCCATTTTTTCTTTCCAGGTAGCATATTTCAATAGGCATTTTGAGTAAATAGATTTTTCCTTTATTGAATTAATGATTTACAATAATTTTTCAGGCATGAACACAAATGGTAATGACTCTAGGTAAATGTAAATATTATTTCACCACAGAATATATACACAAACAACAAAAATAGAATGGTTCTCCATATTTTTGCCACCACTGAATGCTAGCATTTTAAAATAATAAGAATAGTTTACAACTTATTACAAAGGAAAATATAAACTCTCTATTCTCTTTAATTTTCCTTTTTTTGTTAATAAATGTTCTTTCATGGGCCTGTTTAGTGTTTATCTTTTATTTACAAGTTTTCATTTTATAACTTTTTCTCATTTATCTATTGGGAGTTTACGTTGTTTTGTTTCATTTTCTTAGAGAATTCAATTGACTGATCACCATTATTATAAAATAATGGCTAATGTATAATGTGTCCTTTAGTTTTTAATAGATTCTTTTTTTTTAAGGCAGGGTTTTATTCTATTGCTAGGTTGGATCATTAATGGATTCTTCATATTCAAATATCCTCTCATCTTGTGACAAACTCTGTTAGTGTTTGATAAGTTAAATAATCTATGAGACAAATACAATTTTAACGATTTTTAAAGTATATTTTAAGTTTTGGGGTTCATGTGCAGATCGTGCAGGTTTGTTACATAGGTATACATGTACCATGGTGGTTTGTTGCATCCATCCCCCTGTCATCTACATTAGGTTATTTCTCCTAATGTTATCCTTCCCCAATCCCCCCAACCCCTGCTATGCCTCCTCTAGCCCCCAAGCAGCCAACAAACATAGGAAAAAATGCTCATCATCACTGGTCATTAGAGAAATGCAAATCAAAACCACATTGACAAATACAATTTTAAAAAGTAGGGAGTGGGTCACACTTGGTGCCTCACACCTGGAATCCCAACATTTTGGAAGACTGAGGTGGGAGGATCGCTTAGGTCCAAGGGTTCAAGAGCAACCTGGGTAACATAGGGAGACTCTTGTCTTTACAAAACATTTAAAAATTAGCTGGACGAATTTCGAATCCAGGAGGTTGAGGCTGTTGTGTGCTGTGATTGAGCCACTGCACTTGAGTCTGGGTGACAGAAACTCTTTCACAAAAGTTAAAAAAAAAAAAAAAGTAGGAAGTGACTTTGCCTCTCACCTAGTAGAGCAGCGAAATTACATTTATGAGAACTGCAACTATAAAATAGATTTACTAATGCTGAAAATAAAATTTGGATTAAGTTTTGGAATAAAACACAGATCATGATGTGTGTAAAGATCTACTGCTGATGAGCACCCAATATTTTCCAAAAGGAGACATCCAAGTTTTAGTACAGTTCTTAGAATCTCTAACAAAAGGACAGGTTTGGTTCATAAGGAAATGCGAATTGTTCGGCAGCAGGGACCTAAGTTTGGCAAATAAAATATGAGAAAAGCAATTTGCAGACAGACACAGGGCCTAACTTACATAAGTACTATTCTACAGTAGAGTCTCAAATGGGACCTTAAAACCTGTGATATTGGAGGAGGCCCTGAACCACTCTCTGCTTTCTCACTGGTAATATTAAGGATTTAGCCTAGATAAATTTTTCTCAAATTTGTTGGTCTCAGGACTCCTTTGCATTCTTACAAATTACAAGACATCTCAAGGAGCTGTTGTTCATGTGGACTATAGCTAACAATATTTACTATAATAGGAATAAAAACTGAAAAAGTCTTTCAAAATATTATGAATTTATTTTAAATAATTCTGTGTTAAAATAAAATGCATATTTTATGAAAACCATTAAATGTAATGAGAAGAGTGGCATTATTTTATGTTATTTCAAATCTCTGTAATTTCCTTTTTTTTTTTTTCTTAATTATTTGAGTTGGGGTCTCACTCCCTCGTCTAGGCTGGAGTGCAGTGGAAGGATCATTGCTCACTGCAGCCTAGAAATCCCAAGCTCAAGTAATCCTCCCACCTCAGCCTTCTGAGTAGATAGAACTGCAGGCGAGCACCATCGTGCCCAGCTCTCTGTAATTTCTTAAGAAGACAGATGGATTCTTATATCTGCTTTTGCATTCCATCTGTTGCAATATTGATTTGTTCAAAGATATAAACAAAATTCAGCCTTACACAGATAATGTAGTTAGAAAATGATGGGAAATTTTATAGTCCTTTCTGATATTCTTTTTAGATAGAATGGCAAAACTCAACTAATGGTAGTTTTTTAAATGTTCATTGCAATATGGAATCTAAAAATTATCAATCAACTTTTCATTATTCTGTAACATTAAGCCATTTACTTTTTTTTTAACTCATGAATGATTTTGTAACATCATGCAGGTTTCATTTGGAAAAAATATTGGTTTACTGTTTGTGTCTTGCAAATATTGAGGCACTTCATTATAGAATATCAAAAATTGACCCTCCTTAGTATTGTCACCCATCTAATCAGCAGTATTAAATGTCAGGAAGCTCTCAAGCTTACGGTGGACAAAATACGTCCTTCACAATTCTAATTTTTTCTTGCACTCACATTTTATCAATGACAATATATATGGTCAGTTGTTTATCTTGAAGTGAATGGGTTCAGTTGGTTCACTTTCAGAATATCTGACCTATATCTGAGCAACCATAATTTGTCAGTCATAACTTTAAAGTAAAGATGGTGTCCAGCTAGGGACTCAAGCAATGATGCAATCAAGAAATAAAGGTCATGATAATATTTTAATACATAGCAAAATTATTTTATATCTACTTCCCAGTTCATTACAATATTAGAATGTATGTATTCCAGAGTAGAGAATTAATAACATTCATAAATTTTAAGTGCTTTAACAATTACAATCTTAAGCAAAACAGTTTTTGTTTTGCTTTGCTTCAAGAATTTTTAACTTTGTGTATTTGGACATTAAGTATCATGACTATCAGAGTGTGATGCTAATGCCAGGCTGGAATGTAGTGGCATGATCATGGCTCACTGCAGCCTCAACCTCTGGGACTCAAATGATCCTACTGCCTCAGCCTCCCAAGTAGCTGAGACTACAGGTGTGAGCCACCACACCCAGCTAATTTTTATTTTTTATTTTTATTTTAGAGATGATGTCTCATTACATTGCCCAAGCTGGTCTTGAACTCCTGACCTCAAGCCTCCAAAGCACCGTAATTACAGGCATGAGCCACCACGCCCAGTCCCCATTAATTTTGTATCATCAGAGCCAATGACAACACAGTGAAAACGAAAAAATGGCATCTTGGGTTTATTGTTAAAAGAGTTTTATCTCACAGACCATCTGGGTGTATCTCTGGGACCCCAAGAATTTTGCAAACCACATTTTGAGCATTGACAGCCAGCCTAGAATAAAAACTAAATGCCTTTCCAAATTCTAAATTTTTTTTCTATTTTTAAAAATTTTTCTCTCTTGCCTATAAATCTGATGAGTTTTACTAACTTACTGATATTAGTTCAAATTCAGTATTTATCAACTAGATATTCATAAATCAACATGCAAAATATCTGTATTTTCATTCACATTTACTTTGCTTCTGATTACTATTATTTCTGTATAGAGCCAGACTTGAGCTTATTGCAAATTTATGTGATTTAAATTTTATTGTAGTTATAAATGGTGAGGGACAATACACAATGACCACAGTCCCTTAGATATCAGCTAATAACTTGTGAACAATGTGCTTATTAGAACATTGTTCTTTCCTGAATTTGCTAAGGTTGTAAAGGCTCAGCAATAACTAACTATTTGGGGAATGGAGTTAATAACCTTTGGGTGTTTATAAGAATATATATTCTACATTATAAATCCTTTCCTCTATAATTAAGCCAATTACAGCGATGCCAAACTCCTTGACATTCAAATTGGATACCTGCCTTAGTTGCATTTCCTTGTGAGCGCTCTAGGGCCCTGAAATAAGCGACTAATATTCAGATGTTCTGAAAACATGTCATTAATATTTTATAACAATTGTTGTCTAAGGACATTACAGCATGAAAATGCATAAGTAACTGAGACAACCAGAATAAAAATGTGTGCCAGGAATTCATACAAAATTTCACATCCTTCACCACTGACAAAGTGAGAAATGATGAAGAAAAACGTGTATGCCTGAGATTAGGGTCAGGAATCTGAATCAGGAACCTTAGTGGCATCTTTGCTGCTATTGGGGAGACAATGTGAAATTATTAACCTTTTCCCAAAGGATCACCAGGAAGCTTGCTCTTAACTTGCTACTGCATAGTCAAACCAAAAGAATTCACTAAAGATGAAGGTATTTTAGCCTCCTGACCATAATTTCTACAAAAAGACTGGTCAGTGATGAAATATAATATATTGTGTAGGCTGAAATATTTCAGCCAAAGGTAAAGCAAGCATTAATTCTATATATTTGTAGGTCAGGTAAGTAGAATTCTTAAATGGAAATATCAAAACAGAGCTTACTTATCCGTTAGGAACAATAGAGAAGGGATTTTCTACCTAGGGGGATGGAACTACAATTGCGGTGCTTTCCAAAGTGTATAATATAAAATAGCTACATCAAGTAATTTAAGGTGGCCCTTAGAATAGTTTTTAAATACATTATATATATAGTCAGAGAGGTATGTCCATTTCTATTCACATTCTTTCTGAGTACTTTAAAATCAAAGTTATAGGTCAGTGTCAACACTTTTCTAACATCTATTAAATTTTATGAGGTCGAGACTATTTCTTTAGAATTCTGAAGATCCACAAATATCATCTGAAATGCTCAGATTTTAATAACAATACCTCTAATATAATAACTATCCAAATTATATACAGAACAGACAATAGAGAGTATTCCTGAACTATATGGATAAAAATGTTTTACTAACCTCTCAAGGGTCTTTTAGATCCCATATGCATGTAATACAAGAAAAACTTACAAGATCCCCACATGACAGATTTAATATACTATTATATAAATTCTATTTGTAGATTTTTTAAAGTTTTGATTTGTTTTAGAGACAAAGTCTCACTATATTGCCCAGGTTGGCATGCAGTGTCTATTCACAGTTGTGATCATCGAACACTGTAGTTTTGAACTCCTGGGTTCAGGCAATCCTCCTGCCTCAGACTCCTAAATAGCTGGGACTACAAGCATGTGTCATCATGTCCTGCTGATGCTTATGTACTTAAAAAAAAAAAAAACTATTACCATGACTTGCTCAAACTGATTTATAGTAGTTAAAAATCTGCATACATTTTACCAATGTGTTAACATATATATTTATATATTTCCATGATACTACTGTCTAACCTCTTAATATAAATTCATGCTATATAAGGCTCTAGATTTTGAGAGTTGATATCATCTTATACCTTTACTTGTAAAATGGTTTATCATTTTGGTAATTCATTGTTTTCATTCTGAAATATAATCATTTTGAAAAATAATACAAAGTTTATCAAATTCCTTTTTGTCATAATTGGTTGAATGCTAGTAATTTCTAAATCTTGATTAACTTTTTATAAGTATATAAAAGTGAAGTTGTTGGTAATATTGCAGATAATCGTAGACATATGGAAAAATACTACCTTTTCTATAGGTTATATTTCTTGTTATGTTCTAAGTTTGTATAAGGAACTAAAAGCTTGGGCTTCAAAATAAATACAGCAGTCATGTATCAGCCACCCACAAAATGAAAAAAAAAACAGATATAAACTGTGATGACAGATTGCTGGAGAATATATAGAAATATGGTAGAAAAGTCATCCTCAATCCATAAGTATTCTACTTAAAAGTCAAAATGCAAATATAAAATTCCATTAATAGGCATTGAATTCTAGCACTTTACCTGAGGGTGGTATTTCAATTGCTGTTGAGAATTTTAACAGGAAGAAAATTAGAGATATGATTACTCCTCTTCTAGGTAAAAGTGTTTCCATTGCTCTTCAGGAAGGAGACAACCCAGAAAGAATGAAAATCTTAATGTCTCCTCTTACTTTTGGTTTAAAGCTGAGAGTTTAGTTAACCTGGAAACTAAAAAAACAAACAGAATAAGGTATCAGTTCATAAACTCTAAAATGTTAACATAACAGAAATTAAATACACTTTTCTTTTGGTTTGGAACTTTGTTTCTTCTTTTTAAAACTGTTCTCTAATAACTTCACATGAATAAAATTAGTTTTACCTCTTTGTATGTGAAATAAAAGACAGAGAATGTAGACCCTATTGAAAACCATAAACTATTCCAATAAATCATATTTGTAAGTCAGAGAAAGTTTTACTTGGAAGGTATGATATTACACATATGAGTGGTTTTTCCTTTTTATTCTCAGTTGTTATTTTAGTTTCCAGAGATACTTATGCAGGTTTGTTACATAGGTAAATTGAGTGCCACTGAGGCTTGGTGTATACATGATTTCATCACTCAGGTAATGAGCATAGCACCCGATAGGTAGTTTTTCAATCCTCACTCCTTCTCAATCCCCCCCCATCTAGTAGTCCCCAGTGTCTATTATTCCCATCTTTATGTCCATATGTATTCAATGTTTAGCTTCCACTTCAAAATGAGAACATCCTGTATTTGGTTTTCTGGTTCTGTGTTAATTTGCTTAGAATAATGATCTCCAGGTATATCCATGTTGCTGCAAAGGACACAATTTTGTTCTTTTTATGGTTGTGTAGTATTTCATGGTGTATATGACTGAGTGTTAATGACTAAGAGAATAACTTTATTTAATTAATTTTATTTAAAAGGTGTTTTTTTTTAACACTATTCTTTATATTAGATATCTACTCCCATTTGAGTCATTATTAAGGATCACAAATATACATCATTGATTTTTCTGGTGAAATAACTTTGTGTCTTCAAAGTTTTCACACTAATATACGATGGATAGTTCCAGCAAGATAGAGGAAAGAAAAAATAAAGAACAAACAAAGATCAGCCATTTTAACTGAAATTTACAAATGTGAGTTTGGCTCAAGCAGAAGACAAAGGCGTAAGAGGCTTCTCATTTAAAGAGAATATTTATTCATTCAAAAGTTTACAGAAATAGAATAAGAATTAATGTTTTAATTTTCTTTCACTTTCTTTTACAATTTCATTTTTTTCTGAAACATTATGATAATAGACGTCTAAACATTGTTTATACATTATCTATCATGTTTCTTGAAAGCAATAATATAACAATTTGCTCCAAAATGAGGTAATTAGCCTTTCAGGTGTGTAATTTTCTTTTGTTTTCTAAAAATCAATTACTCTGTTTGTTCACAAGAGATTATGGTCCTGAATCTTTTGTATATATGTATAGATCGGTAAAGTTTAAAGTAGTAACTAATGGCTGCTGTTTTATTTTATAATTTTAGGACTCTTAAGAGACAGCAATCCCATTTATGTTTGACTTTGAGAACAAAATTTTAATAGAAAACACTACCCTTCACCCTCCAAAAATGTGAATCTTTGTTCTGGATTAGAGTAATGTCATTTCTCTACTCTGCCTGACCTCAATTGACCCATCTATAAAATGGGAATTAGAAAAAAATCTCCTTGTGTGCTTCAGAATATTTTCTAATGACAAATAACTTACCCTGGTAATTTGACTCATACTAGTAAATTTAACACATTTTCAAATGTGTCACTATGTTAACTGACACTACTTTTCTGATGAAAAGCGTTATCCTAATCAATAAAGTAAAACATGGAAAAATGGTTTCATTATAAAAAGCAGAACACTGCCTTAACTACAAAAGCTGAGTCCTACATATTTGTACAAAGTTGGGAGACATTAAATCATGTAGCTATTATTATTATTTTTTTTTCTGCCAATCTGTTTGAGCCTATGAGGTTGCTCAGGTTAGCCTTGAACTCATGACCTCGCCTTCACAAGCGCCACGACCTCCGGTGGGAGCCACTTTGGCCCCCCATGTAGCTATTATTAACATGAAAATGTTGAGGAAACTATCAGTGCCCTGTTGTTTGAATTTTCTTTTTCCTGTTTTTTCTGAAACAGTCTGGTAATAGTCATCTAAATTATTGCTTCTTATGTATCAGTCTTTACTTGCAATTTAGTTATTGTTTAATATTCAGTTCCATTAATATTCAACACGGATTGCTTTAAGGGTATCTAATACATGAGTTTAATGAGTTGCTTTTTGTTTGTAAGCATCAAGACTTTCAAAAGCATAATGCTACTGGGAGATCGCATCTCCAGATTAATATTTTATATCATCTCACCCTGAAATAGGGAACAAGAATAACTAGATAGCTAAATAAGTGAGAACAGTCTCAATTCCTTTCAATCTCCTGATTTAGGGCAGCAAGTTCAATGGTCTTTAATTGTTATAGTAAAGTAGCTTCTAGATACTAATTATGATGGTGATGGTGATCTGATTTTTTGAATTTTAGTAGTCTTAAGTGCATGGTCTTGACCCAAGAAATTCTCTCCCATAAAAGGATGCCACAGTGAACCCCTGCCTAAAAATAAGACTATATATTGAGATATAACAAATTGGTCACTTTCTAGAACATGAATAATGACTAATTCTATATATGACCTTACCTCCTGTAGAAATTAGCTTCAATTTACCTGAAATTTGTATGTTCATAGGCTATAACATAAAAATTATTAGAAGTTTAAATGTGTTGACCCCTGCAAGCAAGACACCATTAGCTGATGATGAAAGCTCTGAAATGGCTTACAGATTGAAAAGGGAAAGTCAGTCTTAACTTCATTGTCAGAATTCATAAAAGGTATGTTGTTTAGGAATTCCATTTTGCAGCAGTAAGATAGCACTAAAATTATATTCTTATTTATCTTTTTTCTTGAAAGAATAGCATTTAATGCCTCATGCTGGACCTCAAAGATAATAGTAATCGTTGAAACTCAGGACAGAGCTGGCACTAAGACAGGAAGTTTTTTTTTTTAATTTTTACTTTTTAAAAGTACACAGTATCTATAGGGTACATGAGATATTTTGATACAGGCATACAATGTGTAATAATTACATCTGGGTAATTGGCATATACATCACCTGAAGCATTTATCATTTCTTTGTGTTATAAGCATCCATTTATACTCTTACTACAATATTTTTGAAGTTTAGTCACATGAAACTGGTGCCTGATTGCTTATATTGATTATATGAACAATGTCAATTCAGATCCACAAAGAAATAAATTAATTTTTTATGAATCTCAATAAACTGAGTTAAATCTTCCTACTCTCTTAGCTCATCCTTAGGAAAAAAAAATCATCCCTGCTAACCACTTCAAAAGAAAATTTAGGTTGGTGAAAAAATTATTGCTTTTGCCATCAAAGGGCACAGTAACTTGCACCAGCTTAATAGATCTCTTAGTGTCACATCATACTGATATAGGAGTTAAGAAGAAATGACTTAGGCAGATAGTGAGGGTACTAGAGTCCTTGGTAAGGTTTTCCTTTTCAATGAAAAGGAGCACCCAAATCATTTTCTCACAAAAAGCAGCCTGTAAATCGAGCTGTTGACATAGACCCTGGCAGTTCTTCCAATCATGTTAAAAAATGGGGCTCCATCTTCCCCTCCCTTTGCCCGTCACTATGTACAGTAAGTACCAGCAAGATGGTACCAGTCAACTGGAAAGCCTATTCACATAATAAGATTAAAGTAGGGTTGCCAGCCTTTTCTGTGCACTGTGTAAACATCATACCTGATCGAATCAATCTGTGGGCCCTACATAAATCAGACACCACCTCCTCAAGCCTGCCTATAAAATATGGTGCGTCTGCAGCAGGCCAGTCTTTTCCTCTGGGAAGAACTCTCTCTCACTAGAAAGATAGCTGTTTTCCTTTCTCTTTCTTTTGCCTAGTAAACCTCCACTCCTAAACTCCTCGTGTGTGTCCATGTTCTGTATCTTCTTGGCATGAGACAATGAACTTCAGGTATTTACCCCAGATAATGAAGTTGCTTCAATACGATCGAAACTTCCTGACTCGCCATGCTTTTCCAACATGGCTAGTGGGATAAGAATTAAGAATATACTGATTTCAAGATATTAGTTTAACATGGACAGGCATGCATACCTCCTAGGGCTACTTCCAATACAACAAAAAGAAAATAAAATTCTTTGCCTCTTCAAAACAAAAGCTTCTAACATATATACATCATGAGTATTACAGTGTGACCACATATATCCCTCTGATGTTTTAAAAAGAGTGCTTCATGGTGGCAAATCTAGAAACAACTTGCTCCCTTAATTTAAATTCATAGTCTTTCTTGAGAAATGGAAAAAAGAGATGACTAAGTCTTTATCCATTCTGCTTGGCCTCCCATGCAAGTGCAAAAGTACTGCAACCTGCCGACTGGTCACGTGACAAAGTGATGTGTAGTGATAGACCATCGGAAAGTTAGTATAACCAGGGTTCAAAGCCACCGTTACTAGGTGGCCTTGGGCAGTTTACCCAACCTTCTCACTCATCTATATAAACTGGTGTAATAGTTGCTGCTATATGACACACTTATGAGATTTAAGTGAGGTCATATATCATTAGCATAGGAAAATAAATAAAACTCGCTAATACTAGTGACAGTGATGATCATTGTGTAGATACTGGTAATGAAGATATAGTCTCTACTAATAATATTCTGATCCAAGGATCACAGTTAACTTGCATGGATTCTATTAGATTTACAAAGTTATAACAACTTAGAAAATAAAGGCATATTCTCTAAAGCATGGTGGTGACATGATATTAATTAATTTAAAATAATCTCCCCAAAGTGGGAGAGTGTGGTAGACTGATTGCAAAAACTTCTTTGATTCTCTTCCCCTCCTTGTAGTCATACACTCTGTAATATGACTTTACATCTCCTCCCAAGAAGCTATTTCCTCACTTCTTGAATCTGGCAGGCTTTTAACTCTAGAATGAGTTCTGGTCTAGGCCTCAAGAAGCCTTGCACCCTTTTATTCTTTCTCTCTGTCTCTGAAAACTGCGCAGCTATTAGAAGAACAAGGCTGGACTACCCTGTTGGAAGATAAGAGACACTTTGCCCATCAT